GAAACCATCAGCTTCTTCAGGATCTCGTGATGTCGTTGGTAAATGACAAGCGCGACGCGAATAAGGAAGAGGATGAGAATAATTAAGTTTATCTTGAGAATTCTTGGAATCTTAATAGCCACGATATATCGTGTGAATGATCTGAAAAATCTCGGAACGCTGAGTCGACCTTAGAAGACGCTAGAAACGTATCATACGTATGCAGAAGAATTTTAAGCACAGATTCTATGCCATTTTAATAATACTTTAATACGTTTCTCTTACTCTTGAAGAGTGAAACATGAAAGATTGCAATTATGTGATTTTAGTATTAGAATCAACTTGAATGGATCATTGAGGCACTTCTAGAATTTTATAAAGTCTGACGTAATCTTCTGGTAAAGAGAATACGAAGCGGAAAATCCAAATGATTAAAACGCACACATGGGATTATTGTAGAAGATCGTTAATCAAATATATGTTCTGCATGCTTTTGTAATCTGAAACAAAATTTCATGAAACCCGTATGAAATGAAAATATTGCATTTTCGTTTCTTTTTCTGAATTTCGATAATTTTTATGGATGGATAATTTTTTATTCTTTAACTGTTCAAAGTGTCATGGAGATTCATACGACTTTATACGATTATGACAAAAGTTAAAACAAAAGATGTTGAATGAGATATTTAAATAAAGACATAACAACTATATTTTTATATATACATATATATTTTGTACTCAATATTTGTGAAATATTGAATTACAACACGCTAATGCATTAAATTCCGTCCATGTTTGAACAAGGCCATATAAATGTATAGAAATCAAATACTAAAGCAATAAGCTAAATACAACAAACAGTTTTATTTAATTTTATATTTTATACGAATATTCGAAATGTATAAAAACGTTGTAAATATCATGAAATTAGACAGTACATATTTTAAACTTTAGAAAATCTTAATTTGTTACTTAATTGTACGAGGACATATAAATAAACTAGTTTTGAGATATACACTTTATTTTATCTGAAAATAACTCCATTAATAAATTAAATTTTTGATGTGTTTATTTATGTAATTCTTTCCAAGAAAAAGACTTTGGTAGAATTAATTTATTTGACAAGGGTTTCGAAATTACTCATGTTTAAATGCAGATATTAAGAGAAAGACTAAAATATAATGGTGTCTTTCGTAAGATACTATTTATATAACGGTGTAATAAAGAAAAATGTGTAGGAGTGATATTTTGAATATCCTTCGATTATTCAAATATATTCTACAAATATTGACATTTTTTAAATTTATTACATCATATTTTCTCAAATTTATTGAATATTCTTGAAGCAATAGCTCTCAAAGTGATTCGTTTAGTTTGACTCTAGAGTAGTTCCATTTAACTACTATTTTAGATATTTGAAAATGATTTTTTTCCTAATATGTTATAATAATCACAGTATAATGACAGTACAGACACGATCGCGTCTTGAAGTGTATTTATTTTCGACATGAATCACGTTATTCATAATACACAATCAATCTATGTGTTTACAACTTCTGATGTAAATATAAGTGCTCACAAATGATTGAAATTCACGATAATATCCAGTTATGATCAAGAACTATTATTTTAGAAAGTAATATTCATCTGAAGGCATCAATTCTATGTTTTATATTTCATATGATTTTTATTAACACAATTAACTATATTCAAGAAAAACTTTTAATTGCAAATGCAAATGGTTCTACCCAATTTTAGCTAATTTTTATTTTAAAATTAAGTTGAAATTAGGACATTTTTTTAAAATAAAAAATTAGAACATCAATATCTTGAAATATAGAACTAAGTTTCATCTGACATAATATACCACAAACAGATATATCTAAATTTTATTACCGGAGAAACAAATTTTTTTTCCTTCACAGAATTAATTAATAATATTGATTAATCGAAATGTGATACCTCTCTGAAAGAAAGCAAATGTTTTTATTTTTAACGCATATTATGAGTCTGTTCTGTACATCCAGCAGTTTCAATGTTATTGCCCAACATTCTTGTGGATACTTCAGGGGAACGATATTTCTATAAGATTAAACACGTTTCGCAAGTACGAAAAAAAGCAGAAGAAAGAAAAGAAAGAGAAAGAAAGACTTGAAACAAAGATGGAATGTAAATTACTATCTTAATGCGATTTTATAGTTCCTCGAAATTTATTCTACAGGAAGCACATCCTTTTGATCGTACTTCATGCATCGAATTTCTTAACGCGATCCTTTTATCAGGTCAATTGAGATCATTCTTATGAATATCTCGGACAGACGATATCTCCATCGACTCAAACACGTTTCGCAAGTTATGCGAGTATCAAAAAGGAGAAAGATCTGAAACGGAAGTGAAACGTAGACCGATATGTCAATTAACATAATTTTATGGCTCGCGCTATCTACTTTTTAGAAAATCGTATCTTTAAATAATCAACTATTTTATCTCGAACATTTGTCAGGCATTTTAATTCCTTCCACGATATTTTTGTTTAAAATGGTGTGCTTAATATGACAGTGATTTTCATCTTACATACACACTCACGTCGAGCATTTTTAATTCGTTCGACGATACCTTCGGAAAAAATACCGTGAATATAATGGTGACCTTTAGTTTGAATTTCTGCTTGAATTTGCCAATGAGGCAAAAAGTACGCAATAAATAATCGCGTCTATTTGATCGATAATTCACGAGAAATGGCTTTTTGGGACGGCCATTAACAACTTGACACGAAAATATTTACCAACCATTTCTGGGAACCTGACTGTCAATTAATTTGTTAGTAAAATACAGGTTCTTTCGATGGTATTCTTCGGCATCTATCCTCTCTATCGTGTTTGATTCTCTGAGTCAAAGAAACAGAAGAATTCAAGAAAGATGAAATCGTATACGAGAAATACACGATTTTTACAAGAAATTTAATTTGCACGAGAAAAGTCAGCCGATTCTAGTGTAGACCACTACGGCATCGATCGCCTTTCAGTTGATCGATAAATTCGTAACGAGAGAAGAATATTTGCATTACGTCTTCTGTTCCTTCCACGCAACGGTCGACGTAAGAAGTCGCAGTATCTCGGTAAAAATCGCCACAGGCTGTAAACCTACTTCAAGTTCCGCTTTTTTTCGACGCATTGAAATTTAAGACATTGGTATTCACAGAACAGTTAAGAGCCCACTCGAAGGAACCGGTTCTAACTCGTAGAAGATCGAAAACCGAATGACTAGTAGAATCCGTGTAATGATAGAACACAATTACCTTCGACGATGGGATCGAACAAGGACGCTGAGTTTCAGGCCTGTGAGTGTATCTAGATTTTACGTGAACATCTTAAAGACTGGCGGATCTGCAAAAAGACTCACATCCTCGCGGACTCTTGCGACGTCTGGAGTTTCAGCTTTTGCTGACCCACACGCTGGATCGTGCTCAAGGATCTGTGGCTACCGGCTTTCTCCTTATTAAAAAGTGTCAGAATAGATCATCGGTCAACTTCGATCCTTTCGATTGCCTAAAAGAAATCGAACGATCGTTTTGCAGCGAATATTCGATAGCAGTGTGTTGATGAACTTTTTCTTGTGGATGTATTGTGGATGTATATATAAATGATCGAAAGTTTCATGGCGAAATTCTAGTTTAACGATATGCAAATGTAATGGAAAGAACTCGAGGCTAGAAGTTCTTACAAGATAAGACAGCGAGAAGTGACAGATGACAGAAGATTGGTAAAGAACAGGGTGAATGTGTACACGATGAATTTCTTTTAATTTATAATAATGTGACTTTTTGCTTACTCATTATTGAAGATTGAGAAAATAGAAGAAATGTATATATGTTGAATTCTTTCATTTATAATAACGTGGCCTTTATGGAAACTCAGGCTATCAGTTTTTGTGAAACGAAACAGTGAGAAGTGATAGAGAATGGAAGATTGATAAAGAAACGAATGTTTTTTAATTTATAAAACTTAAGTTACGAGCTAGAAAATTTTATAAACAGCTATGATTTATCAGGGTTATAGCTTGTGACTTTGAGTATTCATAGCTCTTTTTCCTAAAAATTAAAAATGCATAATGTGTATGTATATGTTAATTGATTTTTAAATAATTTATGCACGCTTATAACTTGGGTTTGAAGGAAAAGCTATGTAAATGAAATGTGCATAAGAAATGGGAAAAATTTAATATCAGAAGATTGGAAACAATTTTTCTTGGATTTTCTTGGATATTTTAAACGAAGTTTAAAGACTATAAAATAAGATACGAAAGTAGAATCAGTGATAATCGAAATACAAATATGTATATTTTCATAATGGCTGGACTTCGAAACACGTTTTCTCATTGTCATTTAATTGTATTTCATCTTTCATTACGTATTTCAGTAATTCCATATGCATAAAAAATGAGTTTCATCATGGAGATTTGTTGATCTTGGTACAATGTACATACAGGTGTCGTTGAGATATCGATAACGAATAATGAACATGCGATGAAGATAATGAATGCTAATAGTCGACACGTGTAACAATAGTTGCATAATGCGAATTTTAAAATACATCACTGATTCACAATCGCATACACTGATGGATTATTAATAGAATAGACTTAATCTTTAACTATTTTCTGATAAGTAAACCAGGCTACCCTTCGCTGTACGTTAATCATAATAATTGAAAGAAAAGCACTTTCAGATTTAAAATAGAACCAAATAATCATCGTAGTAAGTCAAGATAAAATTTCAAACTGCACACGCGTGTCCCAGATAGACTCGAAGGTGATAAAAAGAAAAACTAGGAACAAATACATGTTCCGTCGAGAATTACGAAGCAATCACCCTGTCAGATCAAAAAGGAATAAAAAAGAGATGTATATTCGATAAAAAGGGGAAAAGTGAAGGGAAAGATTTGCTGAAATTTAGCCAAGAGAAAGTTTGTTTACCGCAGTGTTAGTCTGTCTGTATGTGACCCCTATCCCGTTTAGTTTTTAAGTTCAAGGTCCCTATTCGAAGGAGTACTGGCTCCTCCAACGGAAGCATGTCTTTTCCTCTGAACTTATATATAGAATGAATCCATACGAGGCGGCTAATATAAGTCATTCGGGCGAGTGACACCGGTAATCGCGTGTGCTGCAATGACGAGAGCATTCTCTTAAAGTGATCTAAATGACTTTGGGACGTGACGTGATAAACGAAGAAAAGAGTGAGGTCGAGGTATGACGATTGGAACGTTCTTTCGAGGTGATCCACGATAGTAGAGAGTGCCTTGTGTTACGTCGCAGTTTCTTCAACATCTTGACGACGGACGAAAAAGATTCCTTCCTCTGGCATACAATGGACGATAAACAGATGTACGAGGGCACCAGCGACAAATCGAAGATTCGCGTGCAGCGTGCAACGATCACGGTTAGTGAGGAAAGGCCGCGGCGTTACTCGTTAACCAGTTTAAGAGATCGTCGTCTCTCGTTTGACGAAAACGATTACTGGAGAATCGTAGATGGAGGCGCTGGAGCGAACGAAAATGTCGACAGAACGAGCCAGTCGAAAATGAAACCGCTGGCCGACTACGAAAGGAGAACCAGGCATTATTCTTTGACTAGATTAAAAAGCCGTCGTTCTTGTTTGTGTCTCGACGAAGACAAAGATTTTGCAACAAGGACGGATGTCAACGAGACTGTCAACGACAAAACGACGCAGACATTAAGGGTACCGTTGGCGCGCGATGGAAAAACGATACATTGCTCTTTGTCGAATTTGAAGGATCCACATAACGATCTTTCAACCAGATTGACCTCCACCTTCAGATCCGTCAGGTATCGACAGTCGAGTAACTCGGAGAAGATTGTAATTGACGATATACCGTCGATCGAGTCTGCCAACGATCACGTGGAAATCGATGCCGGCACACCTCCACCGGTAGATGAATCTCTCTTCTACGATAACCTCGACGTTTTTAGGCAGTCGCAGATCAACAGTAACGACCTTCGATCGATCATGTGGTCGATCGTCACTACCGCCGAGATGAAGATACTGTTGAAGCTAGAAAAATGCAACACGTTACCAGAGTTACCTCTCGGCGAACGAATAAGGAATATAGCGTATATGTGGGCTTGTTATCGCGGTTTGGCGCATCTGCTACCAAAACTGGAACAATCAGGCGTGAAGGTTGATTACGTGGAGCCTTGCACCGGCATGAACGCCATCCTCGCTGCCTCGTTAAGCAGTAATGCAGCTTGCATCGAGCATTTGATCAAAAGAGGCGTTGATATCAATTACAAGAACCCGATCAATCATTATACGCCTCTTCACTTCGCTGTTCTTGGAAATTCGCCGAACACGGCGAGAATACTTCTGGATAATGGTGCAAAACCGAGCACGTATCTTTATCAGGAGGCAGTAGAACCGGTTCTGCATTGTGCTATCAGAGCAGAAGCCGTGGAGATAGTGAAATTGTTGCTGGAACGTGGTGCAAGCGTCGTCGAGAAGAATCACATGGGTGAGACGCCGCTTCACGTAGCTTGTTTCGTTCAATCGATAAGATGCATCGAATTGCTGCTTGATTCTCCCGGGACGAATGTCAACGCGGTGGACAGGGCTCATAGAACACCGCTGCATTTCGCTGTGATGACCACTTATTCATCCGCGAAGCTCGTGGAACTTCTGTTAAAGCATGGTGCTTCGGTGAACGCTGCAGACCAAACTGGCTTCACTCCTCTTCACGTGGCTGCACTCAACGAACAATCTCACTGTGTCGATGTACTGATCTGGGCTGGTGCAGACGTCAGTGCAACCACCAGTGCAGGACTGTCCGCTTTGAACATTATTCTTCGAAAGATACCCGAATCTCTGCAGGTCTTTCGACAGAGACTGGACGCTTCGATAACGCTCAGGAGGCCTGTTCCTCATAACAGAGAGTTTGAGATGAGGTTGCACTTCGATCTGCTCTTCCCCAGCGGCAATCAATGCGAGACCAGCTTCATCAACACGTTCGTTCAGGAACGACGAAAAGATCTATTGTCTCATCCTCTGGTAATGGCTTTCTTGCACCTAAAATGGGAGAAGATTAGAAAATTCTATCTACTTAGGATCTTAGTCTATGCCATGACCGTGATCTGTATGACTACCTACGTACTCACAGCGTTAGCTTACAAATGTTACAACTACGACGAGGCGAACAGCTCCAAGATCTGCAGCAGCAAACATATCTCTGGATTCCTGTTCAGACGACCAGTAATCGAGATTCAATGGTATCTTCTATTGATCTTCACTTGCATCTCCATTCCCAGGAAGATATTCGGTTTTATGGTCTACACGTCTGCCAAGCAGTACTTCTCCAACATTGATAACGTGCTAGATGGCGTTGTTATAATCAGCGTTTTCGTCACATCGTTCGTGTACACGGGACGTACGTACGATTGGCAAAACTACGTTGGAGCATTCGCGATATTATGTGCCTGGACAAACTTGATGCTGATGGTCGGGCAACTACCAGCTTTTGGCACGTACGTGGCGATGTTTACTCATATACAGTTTGAATTTGCCAAGCTGCTGCTTGCTTATTCTGGATTACTGATAGGGTTTACTATCAGCTTTTGCGTGATTTTCGTCGGGGAACCATCTTTTGGTAATCCTTTTACGGGACTCATTAAAGTATTGGCTATGATGGCTGGAGAACTGGACTTTGAGGGACTCATCACGCAAATCGATCAAGATCTAGAATCAGATGGACCTTTCGTTATTTATCATCCTCTATCCGTGTGCTCTCAGATCCTCTTCACTCTGTTCATCGTGTTCGTCACAGTGATCCTGATGAATTTGCTGGTTGGGATCGCTGTTCACGATATCCAGGGATTAAGGAATCACGCTGGTCTCACGAAACTTGTACGCCAGACAAAGTTGATTCTGTTCACAGAGATGGTCTTGCACAATAGTTCGATACCATACGCTTTTCGAAAATGGATGTCCGATCATAAGATTAACGTGGAGAACAGAAGAAAGGTTCTAGTTGTGAAACCATTGAATCCTTTAGAGAAGAGGTTGCCGAAGGACATCTTGAAGGCTGCTTACGAAATTGCTCAAAAGAATATACCATTCATGAACGACGATAACATCGATCTGAGTGACCATGTAATGCGAATGAGACAACAGAGCGAGGAATATTTTGACTCTAATTTTCAACTGATTATAGAGAATCTGACCAACAAGCTGCAGTCCTACGAGGACACTATCAAGTCGTTAAAGGAGCATCTGTTAGATACTAATAAAATGCTGGAAAGTGTTGTAAAAAGTCTGGCGAAGGAAAAAGATAACTGAGATCACCAGCTAGGTACTGACTGATTGAAATTATCAAAGTAGTTTAATCTACGGGAAACAAGGACACAACTACCGTAGTTAGTTAGTAATGTGCACGTGAACGATTAGTAAATGACCGAAAGTATATCTTGATGTTTAATGCGTCGATTGAAATCCGATAAAATCAATTAATTTTTACTTAACTTTCTATGTAAATGTCATAAGTTTAAGCATTGTGACGAGTGACTTACGGGGGAAGAAAACCGGAAGTGAAAGTGAAAGTAGAAACAAGGATATTTATTAACGATGACATTAGGATTAATGGTATCCCTTTTTTTTATTGTACTTTTTAAAGAAGCTCTCTTCTCGCTGTGAAAATTCATTAACGATTCCTTTGCATACTTACGATGTATTTTTGTAATTACTGTTATTGTAAGAAGTAATTTATATGATAAAGACGAATGTCTGTATTTCATAAGTATTTGTTAAAGAAACAACTTAGTGATTAATTCATCGAGTTTGTTCGGATCGTCGTTGTCTAACCATGATATTTGTTGAACATATAAGAATCATCACGATCATTCGCAACATTTTACGAAGAGAAGAAAGTTGCCAAGAATTAATACCTTTTCTAAACGGACATATTTCATTGTAAAAAATACTAAATTAATTAGGTAATTAAACTAGTTTTCTCCCTCTTTCTTATTTTCTTATTCTTACAGGATACAATTACAAATTATATTTAATGACTGATTTATATACATACATATATACGTTTGCGCGCGCGCGTCCACACGCATATACACGTGACACGTATCTATACATAAAGTAATTATACATATATACATAGTTACATAACAAAATTTAGTGATTCTCGAACGAGCATTAAACTGTGTATATTTATAGGAAATAGAAATTATTTTTAATTTAATCTATTTTGAATTACAGATTATATTTCCATTAATTTTTACGAATATGTATGACAAAGTTGATATTGAAGCAACAATTTCTGGTGGAGGAAGTACTGGACAAGCTGGCGCTATTCGATGGGGTATTTCATATGGGCTTCGAAGCTTTGTCGATATTAACATGATAGAAAAAATGAAACTTGGTAAGGAAAATCGTTTCTTAATTGCTTATTCATTACGGATCATTAATATATATTAATAAAAAATTATATTTATTATTAGCTGGCCTTCTAACAAATGACTGGAGGAGGCGTGAAAGAAAGAAGTGGGGTCAAGAAGGAGCTCGTAGGAAATTTACGTGGAAGAAACGTTAATTTTTTCTTTTCAGTTTCTTCGCATCATAATTTATATATTTGAATAAATTCCTGTAAAATGTACATTAAACATTTCGAGATAGAATGCATGTTACAATAAAATGGATGTTCACTATAAAAAAATACAACAAAAAATAAATGACCAATAAAATCATTAATTAAACTTCTGCTCAGTCTTATTACTTATAACCTTAAAAAATACATTTATAGACTAATAAATATATTTGAAATATTTTTGTAATATATAAAATCTTTATTTTTTACTAAAGTTCCATTTCTCCCTTACATTTTTTTTAGAGGTATTAAACCAAGTAATTTCATACCTTGAGCAAGAACACACTTTGCTACATAAAATAATAATAATCTTTGATTTCCTATGTCACGTTCTGCTTTATTTATATTCAATTTATTAAAAGCATTATTGATAACTTTGCTAAAAAAAAAATAGTATAAAATAAGTGTACTTAAAATATTAGTATATCTATCCAATATACTCATACTAACCATAACTTAAAAAGATAAATTGTTAATATACATGGTTCTAATTGTTCATAACATTTAAGCACAACTTCATCGAATTGACTAATCATTGTAATTAAAAGATCAACAGCTGGTTCCTTTAAAAGGCTTGGATCACATTCTGTTACTAATTCATTATTGCATAAATTTTTTAAACTGCATAAACGACAGTGAGTATATTGCAATTTCGTACCACAATCGCCATTAATCTGATGTTAAAAACTATTCATTAGTAGTAAATAATTTTAATATACTCATGAAGACATCAAAGTGTATTTAAATAACATACTTGAAACATTGACTGTAAATCATATGAGTAACTATTCAGTTTATTTTGTTTTAGATCTTGAATAATTACACCAGAGGTAGCCAAAATATCAGCAGTCTTATCTATATCGCTCGAATCAACTTTAGTGGCTAAAAAATTATATATTTTAGTTTTACTTTGATCACAACTTATTAATCATTTAAAATTTAACTTGAACAATTCAATAATTATCATATTTCTTTAGATTACATTCTATTTATTTCAATTATAATCATAAATAACATAAACTTACTGCTTGTAAGCAACTGTTTGCTTTTCATACATTTCTTTGCATTATTCAAAACATCTTTTAAAAATATAACTTTACCCTTTCTTGTACTCATACCGCACAATTTTGCAAATGCAACATGTTTCAATCTATTTGCCCAAGGTAATTCCATTGCATTTAAAATTTCGATTAAACTAATAAAATGAGCACTCTGTGAAATATCCACAACATAATACATAGCATCAAATTTATTTCTCTCATATCTGTCAATAGCAGCAGCAATGTCTCGACTTATATATAAACTTGTACCATCACTTTTCAGAATTGGAACATGCTTGTTCTTGTTTACACGTACCATTGTCCTTTTATTTCCATCTAATGTAATCAAGTTCATTTCTTTCATTCTATTAATTATACTTGTCATATTTTTAACAGTATACATAGATTCCCAGTCATACCGATCAAAACTTATACCTAGTCTTTTATAGGTTTTCTCCAATTCTTGAACAGTAATATGTTTAATTGTTTGCCAATTTTCATAAATTATATTGTCCCCTTCCAATTCTAATTTTCTAAAGAATTTCATAGCAATATTTTGTACTTCTGGCTTTTCTTCAATCAAGCTATTTGTTTTAACATAAACCTTATACAATGTTTCAATAGGATCTTTTTCCATTTTTATATCAATGGAATTTAATTGTAGTCCTAAATAAATGCAACCAAACTGTGTACCCCAATCTCCTAAATAATTAATTTTTGTAACCTGATTTTGTAAAAAACTATTTATATTAGCAATGCAGTTTCCTATAATTGTAGACCGTAGATGTCCCATATGAAAAGGTTTAGCAATATTTAATGAACTAAATTCTACTACAATATTTTTGTTATTATCTACAAGTAATGGTGGCATAACACCAGAAACATTGTTTTCTAAAATTGTCTTAACATATCTATCTCTTGATATAGTGAAACATGCAATAGTATTGTTAATTGTAACAGTATCAAAAGTATCCTTTAAATCAATATCTATATCTTTAATTTCATTCAGTACATTGTAATCTTTTGTTTTTAGAAAAAGTGTAAAGGTATATTCACCAATTTCATTATTAAATTTCAAATACAAATTAGACATCATTTTCTGATGATATACATTATCTATATTTGGTAGCGGTTTTATAACCTAAAATGAAATAAATATTATTTTAAAATGAAAGATTTTAATAATTTTGTGTAAAATATTTTTTAAATGAAGTTTATAAGGTATAAACATGTATAACAAATAAATATTCAATTAATTTTTATTATGTCTAATCGAAAAATATTGAATTGTTCTAAAATAAAGTACAATTTTTAGATATGATATTTAAATTTGTATAATTTTGCTTACAATAAACTTACTTAATTTAAATAAAAACCTTTTCAATTTATACTACTTTCCCAATGAAATACAAATTCTTTTGTTACATAATCGCTATTACAAAAATTTATGATTCTAAAATTTATAAATTCCAAATGATAAATTATAAGTATTAAAACTCCAAATGATAATTATAAATATGAAAAATTTTGAATTACTAATTAGTTAAATTTATTTAAATACGTGATTGATATTAAAGAAAGTTTTGTTATATTGAATTCTGCTTCTAACATAAAAAACGAGTTTTTCGTCCTTTCTTCAATGTTAAATCTACGTAACTAAACAAATGACATCTAAACAAAGAAAATAAATGCATGATCAATAAACAATAGTATGATATCTATGCATTAAAATAATATATCATATAGTAAACATTGTTTTCACATTGGTTACTGATAAGTAACAAAGCTTTAAATGTTATATTACTAAAAACCGCAATTTATTTTCAAACAACCTAATAATTCAAATAGTCCACATGTAAAAATAAAACTACTTAACCTATATATATTGCTAACTACTTAATCAATAATATAAATATGTAAAGAAATTAATTTGTTATAAACAAATAATAGAGTCAAGCTTAAAAATACAGAATTCAAATCGAAATAATGAAATAAAAATATGATACCTTGTTATATATTATAGTCCTTAGAAATCGACTCATGCTGCGATAATAAAATTATTTTTAAGTTAATTTTTTAACATTTAAAATATAAAACGTATTATGACTGTTAGAAGTACAGAGTGATTTATTCCCTAATAGATTCAAAAACAATCCGAATATTAAATATCGCAAATGATCCGGTGTCTTCAAGATAATCTAATGATTGGGACAGTGATTACAGTTTGGTACGTTTATGTGTGAACTATAAACTTTCGAGTATTAAGTTTTTTTTGAATAAATGGTACTGTTTTTGAGTCCACTAGCATGTGAATTACCGTGTCTAATTTATTAGAACTTTCTTCTTTTACTTACCTTAGTTTGCTTTACAAGTACTTGTTACAAAAGTTTCATTATTCGAATTCAAATTATTATAAAAATACTTATATAAATTAGATTAGTGTATTATAAAAATTATGAAAGTAATATATATGCCAAATAATAGTGAAACTATAACCTCTATATAAAAATTACTATAAATCTTTAAAAAATTTTGTAAAATTACCTTTAAAGTTACCTTAAAATAATTAGCTAAATAAATCATATGTTAATAAATAAATCGTATGTTATTTAAATGTAAAAGATTTAAGAAGTAAAACTTTAATTTTTTAACATGTAATGATCTGTAATTTCTGTTCCTTAAATAGATTGCTCAATTTACCAAAAAATCAATTATATGATCCATTAAATCAAATTTTGTGAACATAATAGTCTTATATTAAAATATTTCTCATTGTAATAAATGTGTACTTTATCATTTACATTTATTTATATATTGTTTAAAATGAATCTCTATAAAATACAATAAAAGTATGGAAAATCAAATTCATTCTGAACTAATCATAAAAGAAGAAGAAGAGGAAGAAGAGAAAGAACAAAAATGTGATACTCCTACTAATGAAACTAAAAGCATAGTACGTGATGGGGAATCAACAATTGGTATTAGACCAAGACCATTAATTTGTAAACCAGAAAATGTAAATATTGGATGTAAATCTGAACCTATTGAAACCAAGTGGCATTGGGCTCCAGGAGCATGGCAAGATGCTACAAGAACCAGTGCTTTTCAACCATATAAGGTATATGTAACTTTATGTATGATACTTATAATGTTTAGATAAGACATATTGCAAATATTCTTTTAGATCAATCATTTTTCTAGCCACCTACTTTACTTACTAATTTACAAAGGGGCAATACACAAACAGAAATACCTCAACTTTATGGTGATAGTGATATTACATTTCATACATTAGCTGGTCAAGGTGAACTTACTCCAGAACATATACATCCTAGTGTGTTACTTCACAGATTAGAAATAATAATATATATTATAGTCATACAATTATTAATAAATTATTATGAAGATACTGTAGATACACCTGATGAAAAGGGTTTAACCGGTCTTATGTGGGCTGCGGGATATGGACAATTAGGCAGTGCAAGGCAACTACTTAAAGCTGGTGCTAACAAAAATTACCGTGGTCTCAATGGAGAAACACCTTTACATTTGGCAGCTGCTTATGGACATCACGATCTTGTAAAGTTGTTATTGAACCATGGTGCAGATTCAAATGCAAGTGATGAGGTACATGTTAATAGCCCTTATTCAATGGAAAATTTGAAATATCGATTTTTTTCTTTTAAACAATAAAGGAAGGAAATACACCATTAATATATGGAGCACATGGTGATCATCCACATGTATGTTATGAATTATTGTCTAGAGGTGCTGACATTACGTGCCGTAATATGTATAATATAAGTGCTTATCATGCAGCAGTGTTGAATAATTCATTAACTGGTAAGTAAAAATTATATAATAAATATTTCTACTACATTATGTAAAATGTTAAAAATTGTTTGATTTACTCATTTTTCAGCTAAAGCAGTTATTGAAAATTACTTAATACAACAAGTGATAAATATACCACCAGATATATTGCAATAATGCAATGTAGTATATATAACTTAAACACAATCTTACAATTTTTACAGATTTCAAAAACTTGTACATATTAAATAGTTGTATTTATATCCAAATATTTTGACAAATACTTTTTATTTTTAATTCTATATAATTATTTATAGTAAATGTTTTTTGAAAAATGCATTATCAGTAAATGAAATTTATATTCTTAATTTTTATGGACAAACAATTTTACAGAGAATTTATTGGTTATTTATACATATTTAATAGATGGATAAAATGGTAAATAAACTTTTTCTTACTTATAAATGTCCAAGTCTAAATAAAATTTTGTTAAAACTATAAATATGGTATTTTGTATATATGTATACAAATATTTATAGTACCTTGTATTAATTTCTTCTTCTTTTCTGTTCCACAAAAATCATTTTTTTGTTACTATCTGTAAAAAATAATGTCTCTAATAATACTATTTAAAAGAAAATAAAAATAAGTAAATGCAAGTATAAGAATGAATTAATGTTTTGTTAGAAACCTATAGATTATATGTATATTATTTTTCTGTGGTTATTATAATGTTCATATGTATTTATATACATACAGAAAAAATGTTCTTGTTTTGTATATAGTAATATGTTACCTTTTATTTAACTAAAAAGTTTTGTAACTGTACAAAACTCATAAAGAAATTCTATTGATAAAATTTAAATAAAACTAATGCAATGTAATTTGTGTATGTTGATAGTAAGTGCAATTCATAAAACTTTCAGTATTCTTTTTTTAGCAATTATAAAATACTTGTATACAATTTCCTTTAATAATTCAACATTAGATATATATTAAATTGAACAAATTGTCCAAGAAGTGTATGTAAATATATTGCTTGAAAGGTATTCAAGCATACAGCGCCACTGGTAAAAATAATGATTATGTGACAATAAAATTGTAACCTGAATGATAAATAAGTTGAAAATCTTTATCTTTGAAATTTCAATGGACAGTGCTAATTTTGTATTTTTGTACATACTTAGCACAAGTAATTATCTTATTATTTAAGAGATACTTTTATACCACTTCATAATTATCAGTGAAGAAAACTGTTTCCACTGAATATTTAACAGGACTTTCATCTTCTACAAGTAAAACTTCAGTTACCTATAAAAAATAAAAATTTGTTTCATTTTATGAACTTAACAAATTTTTAATTTTATCTTTCTTTTTTTTATAGTATATACATGTAATATGAATAAAAAATTACGTACTTTAATATTAACATATGATGTTTTTGATGAAAATGAAACATGAAGAGGGAAAAAATCTGCAGGAGTAGAAGAAGGTGCAGAAAATTCCATTGAACCAGATTTTGTTGTCGCATCAACAACTGGTAAAGACCACACAAGTGTATTTCGTCGTGCTTCATGTGTATACTGTCCATCGCATTCACTTACTATTGGATTGCATCCCATAGGTAACGGAATGTTAATTTGAACATCGTTTAGTTCAAGATTAACCTGTTCTAATTCATATTCTATGTTCACATCACATCCACCTTCTCCATTTTCAGATGGCCAGCAGTTAACTGTAATAAATAATAAAACAGATAAATTATAATAAATATATTTAAAATTTTATGTAATTCATATTCAGTAAATGATTCCTACTTGAAATAGGTAATGCTGTTTCATCTTGAGCTTGCAGTCGCCATTTTAATACTCCAACATCAGTATTCAATGGAAATGGTTTAGTAGGAATTTTTAAACCTATTTGACCACGTGTCCTGAACAATTCTTTATCTACATTTGGATGTGTCTGTAATTGGATTCCTCTTGAATCTCTGTTTTCTAATTGTACACGAATTCGACCCCATTTCTCATCGGAAATATGTAGTGTTACTAAACCATGCAATTCAAAGTGTTGCAAACCGCCATCTCGACCAATACGTACATTAAGACGTTCTTCCTGTCGTAGGTGAACTCTTGATGTAAAAGAAATACTTATGTAACATTCATCAATAATATATATACAAATTAAATAAATTAATATCTTACGGTTCCGTGTTGATTATTTGTGATGTAAGCGATGTTGGCTTTGTCCCTGTTGTAGGTAAAGGTGTTGTTACAACATTTTCTCCTTCTTCTTTTAACTGATCTACAAATGAATCAACATCGCGAGATTTTCCTCCTAATTTCATTGCACCTGGTCCAGCACTAACAGGTTTTCTATATACATAATAATAATATTTTTATAATATAATTTTTAATAGATTCACATATACATTATATTATTTCTTACTGTGTTGATGTATATAATGGTCTAACTGGTTCTGGTACAAAATTGGTAGTATCTTTTGCATTTACAGTTGGTGTGAAGTTACCACTACTTCCATAAGAATTACCAAATCCAGGACTTTTAAGACCACTCTTTTTAACTGCTTCCATACGTTGCCTTTGTAATTCCTTTGCTTTTTCACGCATTTTATTTTTAGCCTCCCTTTCTTGAGTCATTCTTACAGCTTGATAAACTTTTTCTTCATGTGAATCCATTTCTACAAATGTTCTAATCTGTGCTAAATTAACACTTTCCCTATATCCTAATGCAACTATTTCATCAAATGCAAATATCAGATTAAATGCATTTTCAGCTATTTCAACTTCATCCATTGAATTGCAATACTCTGGAATCTATAAATTTGTCACATAAATTTATTAACCACATTGATAAAAATCAAATAAGTATACAAAACTAGAATAGTAATTATTTGTTTTATACTTATAATGTACTTACAACTCTTGCAAAAAGTCTTAATGTTTCTAAATCTTCTAATATGTTACTAGCTTTTGTTGTAATTAGTAACATATATACTTTTTCCAAAGGTTGATAAACATATCTCACAGATTCTGTCTCTACAAATGTATGCTGTTTGCCAGGACTCATTAATTTTGGAAATGCAGCAAGTAAACCTTCTATTCTAGCCTTTGTCATTTCAACAAACTGACGAGAAATTATAGCTAAAATTTACATGAACTATTAAATTGTATTCATTGGTTATAATTGATAAATGAGTTAATATATATTTTACATTACACATATAATTTATGTTAAAAAATTTAACACATTTTATCTAAGATTATGAAAATTTTAGTAAAATTATTATGAAAAATATTACATAGGACATACAATAGGTATAAATGCAGTTAGATGTAATAATTGAATATAAACTGGTAATTTCTTATTGTTTTTTAAATATTTGTACAACACATTATGATAATATTATAAAGATAATTTATAAAAATATTTACAAATATTAAAATTGAAAATATAACCATATATAAAGTAAAATATAGGTAACTGAATGTATTGAAAAAATCATAATAGCTAATAACTGAAGCGGTAATCATGTGTAATATTAAGTATGAACAGAACACACATACATGCATAACAGGCACAATCAAAGCAAATGAATATTACTTACTTTTGCCTGCTTTTGTGCAGACTGCTGCAGCAATAAGTACCTAAGATAGAAAAAAATACTTGAGTAATGCGATACATTTTAATTCTTTTATATATTATAATATCAACCACGAGTGATGATTGACATCTGTAGCAACTCTTACCATACAACATTGTCATAGATAGCTTTTATAATTTACATATATTGTCACTGACTTAAAATTGATGATAAGATAAATACTTACCATTTTGATGAATTATTTTGATACGTTATACACTATGTAATTAATCTAGTATAATTTTTATATCAGCCAATCTTCCATCCACATCATATATACAAATATGAGATCTTAAGCAGAGGGCGCACTGTGCTGACGTGTGGCATGACGAAAGATATAAACCATGAATTATATGATTTAGAAGAATGGGTACAGTTTCAAAATTTCATGATATTATATATATATATATATTATATACATATTATATACATATCAAATATATGTATCACATTTGCTGATATCAATCTTAAATGTTAAAATAACATTTCTATTTCGATGGCATTGTTTTCAAACTAGAATTGCAAATAGTATGTTATCTTGCTTCTTGTAAATGCGTATTTATAAAGAATTATTATTTATAAAAACAATAGGTTTAATTATATTTGAATAATTTTCTTTCAATTTTAATAATTTATCAAATTAAACATCCTATTATCAAAAATCAATTAAATATTGTTTTATCAAATTGAACATTGTATTATCAAAAATCATATAGTTTAAAAAACAAATAATTATTCTTCGTTTTTTAAAAATTAGAAAATTAAAATATAATATTAAAAAATATTAGATATAAAAAATTTAGAAAAAAATTATATGCTTTCCAATTTTAAATATTTAAATAAGTAGATTATATATAATATTTAATAAAAATTTGTAGGAATTTAGAAATAAAGAAAAATATATGCTTTCATTATTATTATTAATCTTTCGAATTAATTGAGTATTTAGAAATATTTTATGTTAACAGAAATGAGCAACACAAAGAATAACAGAAAATTCATTTGAAAAGAGAAGAAATAGGGAAGGTGGCATAAATGCGGTAGTTAAGCCTGTTACGAACTTGCTAAATCGTTGATGATTTTAAGTTTTTTTTTTTTTATTCAACCAGTGAATACGACACTGTTGATCTAAATTAAAATTATAATAAATAAGAAAATTTTACATATTGTGTATATTTATCCAAATACTTTAATTTAATTGAGCTTTTCTTACTATTTTAAATTATGATAAAATCATAAAAATCTCATGATTTAGAAATGACACATAAATTACATCAAGGACGGATTTTTGGATTGTCCGAAAATGCAGTTTTACCAAAAAATGTAAGTCTTTTTTTTACTATAATAATAGTAATAATAATAATAATCTTGATAATAATTACATATTTTGTATATGAATATTTATATTGTAATAATTTTATAAAATTTAGAAAGATAAAGAAAATTATAAACCAAAAACATTAATTGATCAAACTTTGGAATTACTTGATCCAACACCTAATATTTATACATTATTTGTTCAATTTAATGAACGTTTTTTTTGGAATGTTTTACTTCCCGTGGAAGTTAAATGGAGTCCTAGAATGACAAGGTAATTTATTTTATGACAAAAATTTTAAATTGTGTAAATGTTATTCTGAATACTATTACTATTTATATTATTATTTATATTTATACATTATAGTTGTGCTGGCATATGTACATTTCATCCTCGAAATCGACAGTGTGTAATTTCACTTAGTGCACCATTATTGAAACTTAGACCCAGGAAAGATTTAGTTGAAACTTTATTGGTAAGATTTTTTAATTATGTTGATTCACTATTCAAAGATTACTAAGTTTTATTACATAAATATATATTTTAGCATGAAATGATTCATGGATATTTGTTTCTCACAAATAATAATCGTGATAGGAATGGACATGGTCCAGAATTTTGCAAACATATGGATAGAATAAATAAAGCAGCTGGAACAAAAATAACTGTATGTGTTTATAATAAAATGATTATTATAATTTGACAATCTGAAAACCTTGTTTAAATATTCATTTGTTTAGATATATCACAGTTTTCATGATGAAGTTAGATTATATCAACAACACTGGTGGAGATGTGATGGTCCTTGTCAAAAAAGAGCTCCATACTTTGGAACAGTACGTAGAGCCATGAACCGTGCACCAGGTCCAACTGATTTTTGGTGGAAAGAACATCAACAAATTTGTGGTGGCCAATTTATTAAAATTAAAGAACCAGAGAATTTTACAGCAAAATCTTCAAAAACCAAAGACAAAATAAAACCTAAAAATACTAATTTATCAAGTAATATATCCAATTGGATTACAAAAGCTACTCCATTTAATACTGAATTAGAATTTACAACTACCCCTAAAAGTATAAAATCTACTCAAAATAATCAAAATTCTTTAAATGAGCTTAAAAAGCTTGGAAGTACTGCAAATAATATTTATGGTTGGGATACTGGAGGTCCAAATAGCTCAAATAATTCAAAAAAATATAATAATTCTAGCATTACTAAGATTTCTACACCATCTAAATTTTCATTTTCTGGTGTTGTTGGTGGTTCTAATACTGGACAAAGTAATTTGTTGAATAAATTATATATTAATAATCATAGTCAAAGTTGGAATAAAAATACAACATCACCAGGAAGAGCAACAAATTCATTAATTGATGCTGTAAAAATTAAGAAATCAATTGTTAATAATAGTCAATCATTAAGTGAAGTACAGATGAAATTTGTCAAATGTCCAATATGCAATAATTCTGTGCTAAATAATGAAATAAACAAACATATAGATTTTTGTTTAATAACAAGAAATGAAAAGACAGATGAATGTAAAGAACAAACTACAATAAAAAATTATGATAATGATAATTCTATGAAATCAGAAGTAAAAACGAATAATTTTTCATTTACACAAAAAAGAAAAAATGATTCAAGTATATTTTTAAGTAAAAAACCAAAATTAGATGAATTGCAAAATTTTGGGAAAGCAAATTGTCCTATTTGTAATAATAATTTTAATCTCGTAGATATAAATAAACATATTGATAAATGTCTTTTTGAAATAGGTGAACAAAATGATAATCTAATTATTAAATTAGATGATACAAATGTTAGTAATAATAAGGATACAAACGAGAGTATAATTTCTATCAGTAGTACATCCAGTGATGATTCAATTATTGAAAATTCAACAAGCGTTGATCACAATATAAAATTGAAGAAATCTAATGTAATCGACTTAGCATTTCCTGCTGGAATATCGTTAAATGATCATTTAAAAGATTGTATAGGAAGTGTTTTTAATAATGATTTATCTTTACCAATTGACAATGATAATAACGAATTGTCGAGTACAGTTTCAGAAGATGAGCAAAATAATAAATATCCTTGTCCTGTCTGTATGCAATTAATAATAGAATCACAAATGAATCTGCATTTAGACGCATGTCTCAGTAATAAATGAATACAATAAGTATTATAATATTCCTTTATGATTTATATTAATTATTAAATATGTGAAAATAAATAGATTAATATAAATTTTATTATAATATGTATTTCAATATTAAAATTTCATTTGTTTGATATTTTATCATTTTGTACTATTTATTAATTACATAAATATTTCATTTTACACATTAATTTTGTTTTATATTAAAAAATAGTAACTTATTTTATTTGATAATGAATATAGAAAGGTAATTTTTTAAATTTATTTGCATTATAACATATCCCAAATTATTTATTAGTATTTTTATTTTAACTATTTCACATATTATTTAAGACGTTAAATTTTATTACACCTTAAATAAACTGAAATGAAAGTAATTACAGATTTATATATAAAAGAAATATATTTGTAAATGATAACATTAAAATTTTATACAGTTTTTGCAATAAATTTTCTTAACTTATAATTACACATTCATTACATATTCAAACAAATATTTGTAATAAACCTACAATATCTAAAATGTTTTGAATAGAATACATCAATATAAATTACAAAGTAAATGTTAAAACACGACGAATAGCTTATTATATTAAATCAATTTTTTATAAATAAAATATTAATTTTTCATAAAAATTATAGTTTCTCATACAAATTACTTGTCTCGAGAGTGCGTAGTGCACATACACCACAACTAAATTCTAATAGATATGTTGGAAAAAATAAAAGAATTTGTTCTTGTGTCCAATGCATATATAAATAAAGATTAGGAATTATAATATCAATAGTATTACTATCCAATCTTACTCTAAAACATATTAATATTTTATTAAAATATGTAATTGAAATATGTACTTACTATTCATATGTAAAAAAAAAATATTTATAAAATGTTAAAATGCTCCATTATATTAAAAGTATTAGTAAATTTTTTAATTACCTTTTTGAACCTAATGAATGAAATGTAAAACTTTGTGGTAATGGAATATATACTGTATTATTGTATAATGTTCCTCCAGTTTGATTAGGTATAATTTGTACAGTATCTATTTCATCATATATATTAATATTCACACCATATAAATCATTTCGTGCTGTTAATGCATACTTTGGATTTTCACTATAACACTGACCAAGCAATAGAACTTCAGGTTTATTGTGAAAGGAATAATTGATGTTGTGAATTGATCTTATATAGTCTGGTGTTACAATACACGTGCCTAAATTTGGAAGTGATTAAGACAGGTAAGGTACTGTAATCAAATAGAATGAATTCTGCAGGTACAAACAATGAACTATTTTTCTAAAAAATCGTGAATCACAAAAAAAAAAAAAGAATTGCTTACCAAAGAAAGTCCTTAATATTGTCAAATCCATGTATTTATGAATCCTAGTTCTAGTCAAAAAGTAATCTATAAGATTATAATTATATTCAATCGCTACTTTGTCATTATTAAGTGATAATTCTCCAATATCCGATTCTTTTGGAAATGTTGCAGACACAATAAATTTCTTAGAAATAGAATCTGAACTACTATTTCCACCAATAATATCATAAAAGGCTCGAAATTTCCAAACTAATCTTATTATATTTTCTGGTATCTAATTATAAAATTAAAATTACAATATATAGATATCTTTTTATTTCTAATCAACAAATTTATGTAAAATAATATTTTTAAGTATAATTTATTAGCAACAGAATATTAAACTTACACTTTCATGTTGTGCAATAATTTGATATTTTCTTAAAGTTGATAATTCTCTTGAAGCCTCATAACAAGCATCAGAGAATGGAGTAAAACGTTTTTCTTTAGATTGTTTTCGACATTCTCCATAAGGCCATTGTGATTCTTTAGCATTTTCTAATTGATCTTTACTAATTTCACCAACTAAATTTAATGTAATTGAAGACCCACTACATTTGCCTTTTGCTGTATCAGAGTATCCCCAAACAGCATTTAATACAATCCTAGCAGAATCAGTTGGTTTAATGCTTAAGAAATCCCATTCCCAGGGTTCTTCTTTTTCTACTTCTAAACAAAACTAAACAGTAAAAAATATTATGCTATTTTTACTTTTCTTATTTTATTATAATACTGCACATAGATTACCTTCAAAACCTTTTGACCTGGTACAATTTTAGTTGCTTTGATTTTAATCATATTAGATACCCAACTGGTAATCTGATAAAGTATTGCTAAATTCCACTGTTGAAGAATTTGTGATGATTCTATATTGCGATGTGTTAAAGACAACAATGAGGAAAACATGTGATGATTTGGATTTTTAACATATTCTAATTTTACCTAATAAAATATATATTACAAAATTTATTATATTATTCATAATTATAATATAAAAAGTCATAATATACTAACTTGAGTTCGTTGTGCATCAATTGTACTAATATAAGCAGCTAAACCACAACTACCTTTTGGTGGTACATATGTGCAGTAATCTAAGAAATGAAGGGCTGTTAAAGCAAACTCCATAAATGGCCAAATACTACAACAATTCAGAATCAAAATACAATAAATAATACATTTAATTTTTAATCATTTTTATAACAAAAAATATATAGATATATTATTTGACTTACGGATAATTAGCTCGATGTGAAGAAAATACATCTCGAACTAATTTTTCTCGCGGTATTACATTTTCGCAATCAAAAAGTTTGACGTACATATGTCCTCCTAATTCTGCTAATTTAATTTGAAATAGATCCGTGGTCTATAAAAGAAATATAATTAATGTTTAAATAAATAATTATGAAAAATAAAATTTAATTGTTATTTACCACTGGTTTATATGACGGTGATTTTGTGACTATGTATAATTGAGAACAAGTAGGACAAATATGATGTAATTTTAATTTAATATTCAATCCTTTTATATTAGTTGTTGTTCTGACATGTGCTGTAATACCCATTTTGAGATGTTCTAGAAAAATACTATATATATGAAGTATAATATTTTATAAATTTTATATTTAAACATTATTAATATTATACCTCCTGGTGTATCATATGAAATGAATGGATGATCTTCAAATCCAAGTATAATATTAATTGGAAGATATCCATGAATAGAGTGTGCTCTTTCTGCACTATGCCATGTATCAATTAAAGGATTATAACTTTCAATTATTTCTGATTTATGAATAGATGTACTAAAAATATGAATTATATAACATAAAATATTGTAACAAAGAGATAAAGTTAAAAATTATATTATTATACCGTAATATAACATGATTATTACGACCACTTGAAACATATGTAAAATTTCCTCTCATAAAGAACAATGATGTTGCAATAATTGCAAGCCTAACATTTGCTCCTAGATCTGTGACTTGTACTGATTCCATAGTTAATGGCACATTAATACGTTGGTGATTAACATGAAACTCCATGTTTTGATATATATGATATATATTATGAGGCAAAGAGGAAAGATCTAAAAAAATTATATAAAAATATGGAAAACAAGTATATCAATATATTTAAAATTTTAACAAAGATAACTTTTAATCTCACATTTAAATCCTTTAGTAATACTTGTTTCGTTAAGATGAAGACATAAAACTGTTTTTTCTTGAATACGAGCAATCACTTCTAAATGAACAGGTCCATTTTGCTTTTGGTCTAACTTAAATTGCTTTAGTATATCCTTTATTTGTGTTGGACCATCTAGATGTGTTGATAATGAATGTAGAAGACCTTCAGCTTTAATATATAACTACATATACATAATGTTTAAAATATTAAAGAACGTCACCTTATAATAATTAATTAAATAATTTTAGACCAAATACTTACAGATACATGATTAATATTGATTCTACTTCCATAAGTGTTTACAGTTACATATAAAACTTCAGGTATGTTTGTTAAAGGATTAGCAATAACAATACCGTGTATCATAGCTCCAAATTTTCTGTATGTATCTTGATAATCAAATAAATAGTTACCAGTAATTATATACTGATTTGCAGTTGAACGAAGTACTCGTGTAAATTGAGCAGCTATTACACCTCTATACATCAGAACAATATAAGAAAAAGCAATCCAAAATTCTACTTTTCTAGAAAAAATTATGAATTATGGTTTTACATACATATGAATATAGCAAGGATGGGTTGTATGTTCCATAGATTTTAAAATAGTATAAAAATAATTATATAAATGTTGACTGGGTTCACTTTGCATATACCAATATAATGATATTAATCTACTTGGTGTAGGACTAGAAACAATAAGTAGTGTCAATGCTGCTACTCTCATTTCTAAGTGTTCTGTTCTATTTATTAAAATTGGCCAATAGACAGGATATATCTATGATAAAAAAAAATACAAAAATAATATTTAATATTATCTTCTATTATAATAACAAGTTACTTACAACATCAGGTCTTAATGGGGCAGTTGAAAGTGATGCCCATGCAGCAAGGACACGAAAATGACGTGATTCTGCATTATTGCCACTTGCAATAGGTTCTAAGAATTCAACTACTCTTCCTAACTGTATATTTGCTAATCCTTCTAGCCAAATCATTTTTTTTTCGTATTCCTTCGTCTCTATGAATTATTTATTCTTATAATAATACCATAACAATACAAACAAATTTCGAAATTCTTTGGTATTTATTACATACCTGTAAATTTATCAAGATATAAACGTACATAATCATCTAACATTTCATATGGGCAGTACAAAAAACAGGTTTTATAAATTAACGTGCCATATGCAAGAATGGCAGTATTTTGAACTTCAATAGAAACTTTCTCTGGTAAATTTAGAAATGTCTGCAAATTTACTAGTAACTGAACATCAGGTTTTCGTATATGAAATGGTATCTGAGTAAGAAGTTGAATTGCATACATATCCGATACTCTTTTATCTTGAATTAGTTCTAATATGAATAATGCAGCATCTTTAGTGCCAACTTGTGGAAGAGCTTCAAGAAATATATTCCTACAATAATATAAAAAGAAATAATATAATATGTTTTATTATGTAAATTACTAAATATGTAAATAATTATAAAAAAATTGTTAGCACAGTATTGTTTCTTCTTTGTAACTTGTTCCTGAAATTTTTGTGTAAGCATTACGCAAATCAGCAACATCTAACATTCCAAGGTAGTAAAGTAATACAGTAATTGTTGTATTATGTAAATTATCAGTCTCTGTATCCAAACCAGGATTCTCAAGTCTTTGACTTAATCGATCTAATAAACTTGCTATCTGTAACATAAATATTATTAGAAAATATATAAAATGAATAGTAATATTATTAAGGGGGGATCTTGGTGTTACATAAAAAAAATTTATTTATTTTTTATTGGTTTAATCAATGGTACAACATTCCTAAAATATATTTCCAAATTTTCACTGTAATCCTCGAAATATTAAAGGTTCCACGACGTATTTATTGCGTGCTTAAACGTGTTTTTCTCGAAACCACATTTTTCAAATTTGTGGGAAAAATACTTCAAATATATTTATACTTTATAATTAGTTTTCAAAGTGATCAAGAAAATGCTTTCTTCAAAAAAAATTCCCAAAAATTATGCACATTTTCAGCGTTTTACACCAGAATTCCCCTTTAAGTATTCAGTGCAGACAACAAATTTTCTTAACTTACAAATATAAAAACAGAATTTTTGTCAGGAGTTCTTCTACCTTGAGTAAGATCACCTTCTGGAAGTTCATGTTGTAGACCTTTGAAATGTAAGTCTTTAATAGGTATTTTATCTACTGTATCTTTCACCAAAATTAATTTAAAGATTTGTCTGAAATGATAATAAAAATAATGTATTATATTAGTTTTTAAGAGAAGAATTTCATTAAGCTTTTTGTAGCAAGCTAGAATAAATGAGTTTCATTTTGTTAAACATACCTTGTGAAGTGAAAATGTGCTTCCCCAAAACTTTGGAAGGGTTGAATATATATACCCCCAGAAGCATTAACAAACAAAATCTCAGTTAAGGATCCATTTACCTTAATTTTATATAGTCTTTCACTGGATTTTAATATTGGATTCTATATATATATATATATATATGTATATATATGAAGTTCATTATATTTTGTAAAGAGTTTTATAAAGACTATTATATTTTATAAAATCAATATTTTAACAAAATGAGTTATAGTGTATATAATATAATTTTAATTTTAAACAATTTGTATTTGTATTACTTATTACTTAACTTTTATATAAAAGTATATACATACTTGATCACCATTAGGACATAACATGTTAGGAACATTTGACCAGGTATAATAAGGATGTCCAATACAAGTTCGGGGATCAAAAAATTTTCTTATCAACCATTCATTTTCTTGTTCAGGATTGGCAACATATTCAATATTACATTGACCATAATGATTTTTCTATAATATAATTACTTTTATAATAACATTAACAACAAAAATAAATTTTATTTTACACATAAATAGTTAATTGAAATGAAACATGAAATAAATACATAATTGATATTTTTCAGGAAACTACAACTTTCTAAAAAATTGTATGAAAATTCTTGCTAAGTCTAATGACTTACCTCAGATGAATGAAATGCTGTTTCTTTTTCTAAGTTGGAAAGATCCAATTGTAAAATTCCTGATATACTTCTTTTTATATTTACAGACCAAGGCGATATTGCTTCTGTACTAAAATTTTCAGTAAGACCATTATTATATGTAATTTGGAATGGTTTTAAAAGATCAGCCACATCTTCAGGAATATCTTGAATTTCTCCTTGTTCATCGATTTTGCCATTCCATATAATCATTTTCAATGACTCCAACTATATGTAAATATAATATAAAATACTTTAATGACATTAATCATTAATTTCATTGTTAAAAACAATGTTTTAAAAAGAAAAACTATATAAAATCAATTTAATTTTTGTATTTTGCTATTTATTAGTTGGTATAATGTGTACCTGCATAGTAGCAATATTTTGTTCTGCTTGAATTCTAAGTTTTCCATTAAAACCCCATGAAGATGATGCACCAGATGGTAATAATACACCAGAACTTGAAAGTGCATCATATGAATATACATATTCTTTTCCTGATTGAAACATGCTATTTGTAACATGATTATTACAGAATAAAAAAAGTAGAAATATGATTTTGTTTAATTTTTGCATTATTACTTGTAACACATAATTAACATCTGTAAATAAATTCTTTAAATTAACATGTTATCTGAATATCTTTGCTTTATATAATTTAATCTCATTATTTTAAATTGTGCTATATTAAATTATTTTGTTATTAATAATATGACATTTAAATAAATTCTACAAATTATACCATACATATTATATTATAGTTATAAAGATTATATAAATTATATTATATTTATGTTGAAATAAAAAATTATTTATTTATGATAAGGGTAAACATTTAGTATACCCTCATTGCACAATTTAAATGAAGTTATAAATAAGAATACATATTTTATACCTGAAAGTCTCATAGTGTACAATAGTAGCTTAACAAAAGTGAACTGAGTTCATAGAAGTCAAGAGATGACCCTTACTGTCCCTATCTCTGTGACCCATGAACACGTCTTCACCATTTGTGTGAGTAAAACTTATCTCCTGTCTAAATTATCTTCAATCGTATAAATCAACCTATTACATTTTCTCTGTGTATTTTTATATGATGTACAAATCATACTACATAATTTTCCTTAATCATATAAATAATCATTTTAAACAAATATTTCTTTTTTAATAACTTGAATTATAATAATATTTTTAATTAATTACCTATATTTATTTTTCCAATACATTTCAATTATACAATCTTATAACAAAACATAGTTGTTAATAATTGTATATAATGATATACAATTATATAATCTTTAACAAAAGATAGTTATAAAAATGTAATACAATATGTATATAACATGAATACCTTAGTTATAAACAATAAATTTTGCTTCTACATAATGAATAAAATATTTGCTTTTCTAGCATTTCTATATAAAATAATTATATATTAAAAATTATAGTGGAAAGAAAAATATATAGATAAATGGACAAATTACTACTATTATCCATTATATTATTAAGAGTGGATTTATAATTTTTTAATCTAATTATAAATTTAATCTATACAAAAATATTAAATACTAATTTACTATATGATTTAATAAATAAAATTAAATATTTTATAACAGTAAAAATATTTTCTTTAGTTATAATAGGAAAACTAAACACAATCTGATATTTACATATTTATTCCGACATATTTCTATTTCCATTATTTACAATTACTATTGGAGAGTATATTATATGATAAGAATCTTATTTAATTTATTTCTATACAAAATTACATTTTTATATATTATACATCTAATTATACTGCAATTCTCCATGTACAAGATCTTTTCAGTATGCGTATAAAATTATAGGTAGGCATTATTAATGAATACCATAAAATAAAAAATACCATAAAATATTATTAAGAAATGCATATATAATTAATACATTACAAAGGTTTGATTATTTTCAGGATGGACTTCGAATATTCCCAGGCTTCGCTGTAAAAATGGATATTTAATTACGTTATACATAAAAATTTAGATTTGTACCTTAATAATACAATTTACATGTTCTGCATACAAACATGACTATTATACAAAATCTATTATTATAAAAAATGTAACACATTAAATAAAATGTCTACTATTTGTTATTTATTTATTTACAGCAATTGTGCAGAACAGAAAACAATCTATTACAACTCTAATAAATGTAAAAAATTTACACTTACTTATGTGCTGGATTTGCTTGATCTAATTGTTCACTGAGTTGTTGAATGAGCGTAGCAAACATTCTCAGATGCTCTATTGTTTCACCTTGCAACCATGCACGAGGAAGTGTACTCATTACCTAATTACATAAAAACATAATGTTGTAAAATATAATATTTTCTAAATAGTGTTTAAATACATATTTAATACACATATTAAATACATAATGTACAAAATTAAACATACCATATTTGCTTTAAATAAAGCATCATTTGGAACAGACACTCTTAAACCTGCCAAAAGATATCGATTTAATAATGAACCAAGAGCTAAATTTTTTAATTGTGTGTCTCCAAGAAGACCCTGCCAGCTTAATAGATTTCTTAAAAGCTTCACAGCCATTGCAAATTGTCTTTGAAAAAATTGATGCTTGGTATCCAAAACTCTAAAAGATAAAGTTAAAAATTATCAATTCCTTGCATTATTATAAAATTATTGAAGATTTTAAATGAAAATAAACAATATATACTAACTGCTTTGGAAAAATTGGTATAAAAACATCGTTTTCAACTGCTGATTTAATTTTGTCCAATATAGCATTAAATAATGTTTCTAGTGGTTTGCTTGACTCATTTAAATTTGGATATTCTCTAATAAGACGATTTACTGTGCCTACAAGTCGCAAAGTTTGTGATGTAGACATTGGATCCCATATTCTCTCTACTATAGCTGTAAATAGAAAATAAATTTTATGAACTATTACAAAATTTTTAATTAGTACTTTAATTATAATAAATGAAGCAATATTACATGTTAATCTAGGTATAACAATTTTTTCCACTGTAAATGGCACTAGTCTAACATCTGGATCTCTTTTAAGTGACTCCTCTGTTTCTTTATTATTTAATGCATATAGGAGTAATGTATTATACCACTTTGTTCTTTCTATATCCGCTATTTGTGTGAGTAAAACTTATCTCCTGTCTAAATTATCTTCAATCGTATAAATCAACCTATTACATTTTCTCTGTGTATTTTTATATGATGTACAAATCATACTACATAATTTTCCTTAATCATATAAATAATCATTTTAAACAAGTATTTCTTTTTTAATAACTTGAATTATAATAATATTTTTAATTAATTACCTATATTTATTTTTCCAATACATTTCAATTATACAATCTTATAACAAAACATAGTTGTTAATAATTGTATATAATGATATACAATTATATAATCTTTAACAAAAGATAGTTATAAAAATGTAATACAATATGTATATAACATGAATACCTTAGTTATAAACAATAAATTTTGCTTCTACATAATGAATAAAATATTTGCTTTTCTAGCATTTCTATATAAAATAATTATATATTAAAAATTATAGTGGAAAGAAAAATATATAGATAAATGGACAAATTACTACTATTATCCATTATATTATTAAGAGTGGATTTATAATTTTTTAATCTAATTATAAATTTAATCTATACAAAAATATTAAATACTAATTTACTATATGATTTAATAAATAAAATTAAATATTTTATAACAGTAAAAATATTTTCTTTAGTTATAATAGGAAAACTAAACACAATCTGATATTTACATATTTATTCCGACATATTTCTATTTCCATTATTTACAATTACTATTGGAGAGTATATTATATGATAAGAATCTTATTTAATTTATTTCTATACAAAATTACATTTTTATATATTATACATCTAATTATACTGCAATTCTCCATGTACAAGATCTTTTCAGTATGCGTATAAAATTATAGGTAGGCATTATTAATGAATACCATAAAATAAAAAATACCATAAAATATTATTAAGAAATGCATATATAATTAATACATTACAAAGGTTTGATTATTTTCAGGATGGACTTCGAATATTCCCAGGCTTCGCTGTAAAAATGGATATTTAATTACGTTATACATAAAAATTTAGATTTGTACCTTAATAATACAATTTACATGTTCTGCATACAAACATGACTATTATACAAAATCTATTATTATAAAAAATGTAACACATTAAATAAAATGTCTACTATTTGTTATTTATTTATTTACAGCAATTGTGCAGAACAGAAAACAATCTATTACAACTCTAATAAATGTAAAAAATTTACACTTACTTATGTGCTGGATTTGCTTGATCTAATTGTTCACTGAGTTGTTGAATGAGCGTAGCAAACATTCTCAGATGCTCTATTGTTTCACCTTGCAACCATGCACGAGGAAGTGTACTCATTACCTAATTACATAAAAACATAATGTTGTAAAATATAATATTTTCTAAATAGTGTTTAAATACATATTTAATACACATATTAAATACATAATGTACAAAATTAAACATACCATATTTGCTTTAAATAAAGCATCATTTGGAACAGACACTCTTAAACCTGCCAAAAGATATCGATTTAATAATGAACCAAGAGCTAAATTTTTTAATTGTGTGTCTCCAAGAAGACCCTGCCAGCTTAATAGATTTCTTAAAAGCTTCACAGCCATTGCAAATTGTCTTTGAAAAAATTGATGCTTGGTATCCAAAACTCTAAAAGATAAAGTTAAAAATTATCAATTCCTTGCATTATTATAAAATTATTGAAGATTTTAAATGAAAATAAACAATATATACTAACTGCTTTGGAAAAATTGGTATAAAAACATCGTTTTCAACTGCTGATTTAATTTTGTCCAATATAGCATTAAATAATGTTTCTAGTGGTTTGCTTGACTCATTTAAATTTGGATATTCTCTAATAAGACGATTTACTGTGCCTACAAGTCGCAAAGTTTGTGATGTAGACATTGGATCCCATATTCTCTCTACTATAGCTGTAAATAGAAAATAAATTTTATGAACTATTACAAAATTTTTAATTAGTACTTTAATTATAATAAATGAAGCAATATTACATGTTAATCTAGGTATAACAATTTTTTCCACTGTAAATGGCACTAGTCTAACATCTGGATCTCTTTTAAGTGACTCCTCTGTTTCTTTATTATTTAATGCATATAGGAGTAATGTATTATACCACTTTGTTCTTTCTATATCCGCACTTTCCTAAAGGTGATATATAATATGAAATTTTTATTTAAAATTATTATTTATATTCGTATATTATTAAAATATATAAAAATTTGATGTAATTAAAATACCATAATAGGATTCCATGTTAATAATTGCAATCTAATAATAGGGGAAATAATTTTAGGTATACATAAAGATACATAAGCTTCCATGTAAGCATCTCTATCAGTTTCTCTCCAAGATTCCAATTTTGAAAGTATTCCTCTTATTGTGCAATATTCATCCATGACATCAGCAAATATTTCTTTACTTTCGCTATCAATTTCGTCTGAAAAGAAATATGAAACAAATCATTACACAAAAGATATTAATCTATACCTGACAGATATTAGTAAATGTTATAATACAGTTCTGTTTTTTGTAAAATAAATTTTTTTATTGAAATACAACCTTTTGTTTGCTTAAATGCAAGATTTTGTTGTTCAGTAACTTCATCATCACTAGACATTCCATCAATATGTTTTGGTAATGTCGGTGCTAATTCCCTAGCTCTTCTGCGACGAGCTCTTCTTCCTTCTCGTTCTGTAGCTCTACGAATACGAGCTTCAACTTCTGGTCCTCTTCGTATAGGTTGTCCTCCTACAATTAAAAAATATTAATTATTGCATTTAAATTACATGCATTGAAAATATATTTTTACCAAACATTTTTATGCATAATTTGTAATTACAAAAAGATATTAAGAATCCAAAATATTTTTTTTTTTTAACATAAATAATTGTAATTAATACTAAAATAACTGACTCGCAGCTGTTGTAATTTCTTCTGCTTGATCTCTTGTATCTTGTCGTCTTCTTTCCATTAATTCGATTGCACGTTCACTGTAAAGGTCTAACCAGCGTTGCTCCAATCCAACAACCAGCGGCAGCTAACAAAAAAGTTTCACGTTAACATTCACACATTGAATTAATTCAATGACTTTGGGAATTATTTTTATTCCAGAAAATGTTCATATCAAATTTTATTACAAATTACAAATATTAATTATATATAATTTATATTAAATGATTTGTTAAAGGAAAAATCATGTATATTTTAAACATTTGCTAGAGCTTAATCTATAATTCCACAGCCATTGGATATCTTTTTCTTAAGAAATTTGAAATTAATATCATTTTACTTACCACATATATTAATTTATCTTTTCAATTCTTATAAATACTTAAAAATAATTTTTACTACACAGTAAATAATTTTTTTATACAGAGAAGATACAGACCCCCGGCAATGCAAATATACATTATATATATATATACACACACATATATATATGTATATATATACACATATATACATACACACATACATACATACATACACATATATAAGATATATATGTAAGTATAGATGTTCTAATCTTTTATAAATTTTAATCTTTAATTTAATATGCATTTTTCTTTCTTTTTTAAATTTTTAGTATATAATTAAAGTATATGCGAAAACAATAATTTTCATTTTATGATGTTTATTTTGTGATTTTAATATATGTTTCAATAAAAAATATATTTAGCAATATATATTAGTATTTCAATATCACACCTTTTAATAATGTTTACTATTAAAGAAATTCCACTTTATCAATTTTGTTTTATATATGTACAAATTAAAATTAAACTTAAACATTTTATAGGAATGCAAAATTGTTACAATTTTATCTGCTAAATACACAATGTTATTTACATAAAACATCTGTTACATAAAATAATATAACAAGTTACTAAACATATTTTTTCTTTATATCTGTTTAATAAAATATATATCTTTAATTATTTTAATAGTTAATTAATTAATCTTTACATCTTTAAACTTTTTAAAAGGAAACAATGTTATATATTTCTTCTCGAAATATGTTTAATGAGAAAAATGCATTTTTTATAGTATGGCTGAATAATTACACAGCCAAAAATTGCATGGAAAACCCCAGTGCACATAAAAAAACGTGACAGCGTATAAACCCACCTTCTCATCAAGACACTCTACCAAGTCAGTGACATACCCACGCAACTCTTGGTAATATCTGAAGCGTTGTGCAAGCTGCGGTGCACGAATTTCACCATCATCCAATTCTTTCACAGTTTGTCCTAACTCTTGCTCTAAACGGTCCTGATCTAATTGATGACGTCGGTGTACTTCTTTTAAACTGTCCAATCTACAAATTATATTTTTCATAACAATTTTATAAAAATAAAAAATATTTTAAACTTTAAAAATTCCAGAACTCTATTATATGCATTAGGTTAAGACTTTTGTTCAGTTTTTATCACCTTGCACGCATTTTATTTACAACTTCTTGAGGAGTAATTGGTACTATTTTTGTAGGATCTGGTGGTTGAATTGCTGGAGGAGGTGGTGGAGCTGGCATCATCACCATTTCCAGAGATATTCCACTACCCATCATTGAATTTACATTCATACCTATTGAATATTGTTGTTGCATCATGGAATCTTGTTGTGCTGCTGCAATCTAAAGTTTTTTTTTATAAATATATAACGATATATATTACACAAATTGTTTTAATAAAATTATTATTTATATCTAATATTGCAACATTTATGACATACTCAATAATATATAAATGAATGTAAATCAGTTATTATATTTAAATAAATATTCTATTTTCACCTTTAAATAAAAAACTATTACCTGTGCACCAGTTACACCTTTCCTAATTTGTTGAGCTTCCCATTCTTCTTCTTCGTTTTCATGCTCACTTTCATCATCAGATACTAAAAAAATATATACTATGTATTCTTTTACCGATTAAAGTCTAACTAAAACATAATCAAACCCTAACATTTCAATGGTACTTGTGAAGCAAGAAATGCTTCTCTCCTTTTTTCTTTATCACGGGCTTCGGTATTAACAGTCATATCAATTCGATCTTGTGAATCATCATCATCACTTCTATCATGGTCTTCTTCTCTAATAAGTCTTGATTTGCCTTTATCATCACTGGAAATTGAAAAATTTATTAAATATTTTGGAAAATAAATGTTAAACTAAATAGCACTTAATTAAAGTATGTGGATTTCCAATATATGTATTAACCCTTTGCAGTCGAGTGTCTGCAAATAGCCGCCTAAACCTTTTTACCGTTGTGGATGAATGTCGACAAATACCAGCCAAATTCTGTTTACAACTGTGGAGACGTATTACGAAGCAGCTCATGTACGTTTGTCTTTCTGAGTGATAAGATACGTATAATTATAGTATACTAAACAAATAAATGATGAGAAAATCATAAGAAACACAATACAAAAAATTAATGCATTTGCAATTTGTACGTCGCTTGGTGGACCAATTAGTTGAAGATTTTCGTGACGCTAATCCCAAAAATCCTTCAACTCCTGGAACCGTAGGAAAGCTGAACGGCCTTTTACATATTATTCGGTGAGATGACACAAGAAGGTGTAAAAACTGTGTGGTATGTTCCAATCGGAAAATCAAAGGTGGAAAAAGAGAATCAGGGTATCATTGTGTTACTTCGACTAAACCGGCCTTGCACATACATGATTGCTTCGAACGATATAATACCATGCACGAATATAAAACATATCATACATAAACATAACATAACTAAATATGTTTTTCTTGGATTTTATTAAAAAGTTTTACTGTATATTTTCTTTACTACGCGCGTCGATACCTCTCGTCCACAGCGACGCTCGCTTGTCGGGCTGCTCCGACCGCAAAAGGTTAATTATGTTACAAAAAATATTACCTTTGTTCTTCTATAGGAATATAATCAGTTCCTAATTCTCTTGCCTTTTGTCTGCATTTCCTAGCTGCATGAATCATTGCAGCATCAGGTATACAACCACCTTATAGATACAAAATAATATTTATTATAATATTTTTTAAATATTTTAAACATTTTGTAAATATTATTAGCATGCAGTATATTATATATGTTATATATTATATACATTATATATATACATATATACATATAATAAGTCATTATAGAACATAAACATAAAAAATATATAAAAATAAAAACAGTCAAAATTCATAAAAGTAAAAACATTACATACTTTCAAGAAGAATTTTCATTGTATCAGCTTTATCTGTATTTCTTCTAAATTTATGACTGCGTGGTTCATCTTCCTCTTCATCGGATGTATAATCATCTTTCCCAGCTGCTAGCGCAGCTCGTCCATTTAGGATTAAAGGTCCAGTATTTTTTATTTTAACCTAGTAATAAAAAATTTTCTTTTAATAAAATTCTCAGTAAAAAGGAATATTTATAATTTGATCAATTAATTAATTAATAATTATTATTACAAACATAATTAATATCATGTTATACTGAAAAAATAGTATACATTAGTGTAATATAAAATTTGTATTTCCAAATCTTACAAAAATAAAAAATTACTGAATATTTCCAAAAGAGAATATTAAAATTTAACTAATTGCACATATTCATATTTTCATAACATTACACATTTAACATTATAGTGTATACATAACTTATTTGTGATATATTATGTATATTTGGTATATTATGAGAACTATATTCCACACATAATGTATTAGAACACTACTATATTTAAAGCAATAACACAACTTACAAAAATAAATTCTAGTAAAGATGTATCCATTATTTACAAATATTTATAATTATTATCACATTTTTAGTGAACATTAAATTTAAAATATAGCAAAGAAATAAATTTTGATTTAAATTCTGAGAAATTCTAATAATAATAAACATCATAGAGATAGCTTACTACTAGATCATCTGTCTTTATTTCTAAATCTTTTTCCTGTTTAATGGACATGTTCGCTTGCTCAGAGTCCACTTGCATTTTCTCTTCACCTTTCTTTTTTCTCCTTTCGTGATCTAGTTGTTTCATCAATTTTTTGCTCCTGGATGATTTCTTCACTTTAAAGACTTCTCCATCATCAGCTATAAAATAGCAGACTATTAGGTTTTATATTACATACAAAATTTTATTCCATTATTTATCTAATAATTTATCTAAATATTACTACATTATATATTTTTTTAAAAGCTAGAACGATTAATAATGTTACATCAAATATAATTATTTCAATTATTGTACTAATTTTTAATATGACAATATTTCAATAAGTTAAAATATAATTATAATCTAACTGTATTAATTTTTTTCCGTTTCATTGTTTTTAATACTAATTATAACGAAATTCCTAATTTTAGATTCGTATACAAATTTTTTAATTAAAATTGTTAAAGAATTTTAAAACATATTATTTTACAATAAATATATCTATATACATGTAGATGCATATTCAATTCTCAAAATTACCTTCTTCCAGCTCCTCTCCAAAACTGAGGAGCGTCTGCTTTGGCTTATCCTTCTTCTTTGCTTTCAATTTTACAGGTTGGGTGTCCTCCACTTCCATCCTATTTTCATTATCCTCATCATCATCGTTGAAAGGTCGACGGCGGATGTTTCTCTTCGGTTTATTAAATAATGACATTGTCCTTAACATCAACCAGTCTGTTTAGACTATTCACACATATACTATCCTTAGGTTAACTTCTTAGATTACAAATAGTAAAAAAAATTGGAAATTTCATAGCATATAAGATAATATAACAAAAAGATTTGTAAAATGTGCGTTCACGCCTTCATATAATGTATTCTAAACTCGTAAATACCCGAAGTTAATAAAAAAAAACACGACACCTTTATGGAATTATAATATGGATTATCCGTTGAATAAGAATCGTTGTAGAATCTGTTCGAAGTATAAAACTTCCAAAATTTGTGCACATGAATTTAATACATCTCACTGTTCAGTTACTGATTGGCTTACCTTCGTGTACTTTTGATATATACATGTGTGATGTATGTACATGGTAACTACACACATATGACACGAACACCATGTGCGCACGCGCGCGCGCACACGAACGTATATACATATACATAAGGTATATTCTATTTTTGAATAAATTTTCATTTTTTTATTAACTATTTTTACAATTTTATTAATGATATATTTCGTTTTATATTGAAATTATTGTTTCATATTAGTTCTTTGATATCAGAGCACTAAATGTTACTTTGAAAAAATACTATAGTATCAGCAGCATAGACAATATTTACTAGAAGGTAAAATTTACTAGAAACAATATGTATATGTGTTGAATGATTGTATTGTATGAAATTAATGGAAATTATTTAACATGTTTTAACACGACGTGAGTACATTTTTTCATTAAATTATGTTTATATTAATAGTTGCATTTTATCAGTATTTAAATATTCATATTTTATATTATAGATAATATAGTAAATATGAAAGATCATGCTTGTATCGTTACTCACGGTTATCATACCGATATTGCTTTGAAGATTTATAGGTAATAAAATGAAGAATGTATTGTATTTATTTTGTATAATTCATAATAAATATTTATTTAAAATAAAAGTTAACAATAAGATAACAATAGAATATTTAATATTTTTTAAATCGCCAACTATTTTAAAGTATTTATAGATTAATATTTGATTTTAGTAATCGTATATTTTTGATTATAACACACTTTAAAAAATTTGGATCATTGATAGCTATAAGTCGTGGAACTTCAGTTTGTCAATATAACAATAGCATTTATTCTACCAAGTAAGTAATATTATTCTCACTATTATATATTTACAGTATTTAATTAATTTTATTTTGATGTAACTAAGAAATATCAATGTTGATTTTAGGATATTATTTGGAAAGGATGATGTTGAAATTATGGCAGCAGCTCGATATATAGCAGAGCAGATTAATGCAGATAAACCATTATTAATTTCAATATCTTTGAAAGATTATGAATTAGATACTTTAAAAACCATAGTTAAGACTATAAATGATATGAAAGCATGGTAACGTTATAAAATAATAACCTAATCATGAGTTTAATATTTGGACAAATAGTTATTGGTCCACCTGGAAGTGGAAAAACTACATATTGTCATGGTATGGCTAGATTTTTAGAAAAACTTGGAAGAAAGGTGGCTGTTATTAATATTGGTAAAAATTAATAATATTTTAATAATAGTTAATAACTGCAATTGCAAGTTTTGTAGATCTAAATAATTATGTTATGTTTTTAGATCCTGCAAATGAAAACATGGAATATATACCATCAGTAGATATCTCTGAATTGATAAAACATGAGGAAGTAATGGCACATTATGGACTTGGTCCAAATGGGGCATTAGTTTATTGTATGGAATTTTTAGAAGCTAATATAAAATGGTTAATTACAAAACTTTTAAATTTAAGAGATCATTATCTTATATTCGATTGTCCTGGGCAGGTATGTGTTTATGTACACATAAATATTACACTACTAAACATATTACATTTGTTATTATTAATATTTATTAATAGGTTGAGTTATATACACATCATAAATCAGTTAGTGTAATTGTTGAAAAATTAGGACAAAATTTAGTAAGATTATGCACTGTACAACTTGTTGACTCTCACCATTGCAGTGATGCTGGTATTGCCTATAGTTATTATAATTTTATGGTCAAATTTATAGATTAGAATATATTACTATACAAAATTCTTTTTGGATTATAGGTAAATATTTATCTTCTTTAATTCTTTGTACAACAACAATGTTAAAATTAGGTATACCTCATGTCAATGTAATGACCAAGTTTGATGAAATGAAAAAATTTAGTCATTGTCTAGATTTTAATATAGATTTTTATACAGAAGTGTTGGATTTGAAATATTTGCTAGACAAATTGGATGAAGACCCATTTACAGCAAAGTAAGATTTTTATTTAATTTTATTATTTATGATAAATTTTCATAAATAAGTAAATTGAAATATGAAATGATGTACATTTTGTATTTTTAGATATAAGAAACTAAATGCAGCTTTTATATCATTAATAGAGGATTACAGTCTTGTTAGTTTTATACCATTAGATATTTCTAATCAAGCGCTGTTGTTACAAGTTAAAAATGCTGTAGATAAGGCTAATGGTTATATTTTTGGTGGAAATGAACCTCAAGATGTTCAAACACTACTTGCCTGTGCTGTAGGTGCAGTGAGTGAAACTGAAAAAATGTCTACAATAGATGCATACTTTTAAAAAAACTTTGAACTTTATTTCTTTTCATATTTCTATTTCTTAACATATTAATAACTATCTGATATAGTTAAACAAGATACAGTAAGTTTATAAACATGTTCATCAACTTATTAACTTCTCGACTAGTTTGTTTGGCTAACAAATATTTGTGCTAAGTCGTCATAATCATATATTCTCTTCAAAAATGTGTCTGTCAATTTCAATCCCGAAATCGTCTAAAACACGTGTAATAATATTAAATAATATTTTGTAATATTTGTAATGTTTATATAAAAATACTTACAATAATACCACTACGTAATGCAATTAAACGTAAAGGAATATCTATTGAAACGCCAGGTTCTAATGTTCCTATCATTGTATTAGATATTCCACACCATGCTATAGAGTTACTTGATTCCAAACTTAACATTAAATCCATACTTCTTTCACTAGTTAGAAAGGGATAAAACTTTATTGAAAAGATTATAATATATATTAAATATTAATTTAAACAACATTAATAAAAATTCAGAATTATCATTTTATTATTCGTTATTTATGTGATATAGATACTTACGATGTATTTATAATATGACAATTAAAATTCATTAATTGCTCAAGATAAACTGTAAGAGGAATGTCTTTCATAGTAACTCGTATATCACCATATTCAGGTGCCTAAAATTCAGCAAAAGTTACAATTATAATATAAATTATAAATGAAATAATAAACAATTTAACAAACCATTCTCTGTAATTGACTTGTTTGTAATCTTCCTCTTTCTCCTAGATTACTTCTCCATACAATGTCTAATTTTCCAATGTTTGTTGCATTATGCATCATTTTTGGGTCTTTCAGTAAACTTAACTGAGGTTTTAAGCAATATAAATATTGTCTACTACAATCAGTATCCAAGATATTAACTGAACCATAAATAGATTTTCCCTTTTCATTTGTATTTAGTGTTGATACTAAAAATATAAAAACAATTATTATGAAAATTTCAATTCACAATAACTAAAACAATTATATGTAGTAAACCCACCACTAAATAAATGAGATGATTCAAGTGAAACTTTTTCTAAACATATTGGGCCAGCTGTGAGATTCTGTATTTGTGCTTCAAGATACACTTCATCTGACTTCAAGAAGATTATATATTTCCAAAATAAATTTTGTTAATAAATATTATTTCATTTAATTAAATAGATAAATGATTAAATATTTCTATTATAAAAACTTTATTATCACAGTATTACCTCTGCATTGTAAAATTTTGTTTTGACATCTAATGGCTTTACCACTTGAAATTTAAAATACTTTCTAAATAATTGTGCAGAACTACCTAAGTTTGCAGGAGTATAAGTTACTTCACATACTAGTCTACAAAGGAGTACATTGCTTAATTATTTATAAACATGTATATCAATTTTAATAACTATATATTCTTACATATGTGTGCCAATTTCTTTTACTTCATGATGTATGACTTCATCAACTGTATTATCAGGTGCTAAATCTTTCATTTCTCCACTACTTCCACAAAGAGATATAATTTGAGTACTTGTTTGTAAGTCTGCCTATATGATATTATTCATAAGTTTTATATAACATATAATACATATAGTCATTATTTAATAGAATTTAATTCATTTATATTATTAACTTACTTTAACAGTAACATTTTTTACTAACTGATTACTGCCATTATGTACACAAAGATAACTTGAAAATATTTCACCTAAATAAATGTTTCTAAAAATATATATGTGTATAAAATTTTAAATTAAATATAAACTTCAATTCTAATATATCTTTATATACACACCCAAAACTTTGTGGTAATACCATAAATTGTCCTATTGCAAGAGTTTCCATTCCCTGTAAAGCAGTACAATCATTTTTAAGCTCATTATTTAAAGTATTACCAGGAAGATCTGTTGAATCACAAGTAACAACAACTGGACTTGCAAGCATAGGTCGTGTTAATCTCATTACTAAAAAGAGTGAAAAGTAAAAATATGACTATTAGTATTATTCATAACTCAATAAACATTAACATAATATACTTTTTTTTTAATTGAAAATTTCACAAAAATCATTCCTCTTACCTTTCAATTCTAGTAGATGTTCACTTTTTGGTTTAGTTTCCATTTAAACAATAAAAGATAAGCAGTAAGGAAATTTAAAACTAAATATTTATTAATATTAAATGAAATTATTTGTCATCAAATGTCATTTAGAAAATATAACCTGTGATACATATATTCGATTTGGTTCGATTCAAAAAATTAATAGTTTACAAAAAAAGTAATTTATTTAATTTTAAATAATTATAATTTTTATTTGAAGTACAATTTTTAAGAAGCGCCCTTTTAATTTCTTTTTTATATTTTCTTTGCAAATTTAGAAATAAAAGTGCATAAATTTGAATAATATATGAAACGACAAAATATTTGTAATTATCAAGATCTTTGAAACATAAAATTAGATATGATATAAATCAATAAAGTCCGTAATGTTTTACAAAATGTTTGAATACTGTGCAACATCCAACACGACGAACGACATCCAACGTTTTAAGTGTGTACAACATAGAGGAAAATAATATTGAAATTTATAGAATATATAATACAATTTAAACTTCACAAGAGGGCGTATATAATGCATCTTGCATAATGTTAATAAACGTATTTAATTCATTTGTAACTTAAAGATTATTATATTTGTTTCCAATCGTTTGTTCAAATTATAACGGTCAGTGAAATATCATATTAATTAATACCTGTTACCAAAAATTTCTTTAAACATTTATCTCTTAAAATAATATTTTCAATTTGTGATCTGTAATCTTTACGGTTTTATATATCAAATAAAACAATATCTACAAATTTATAAGGTAATAACGAATTAACAGTGATTATTATTACAACTTTTTTTATAAGATATATTTATAAATTTCGTGTAAATGTGTTATGTTTTAATCAATTCATGATTTCGATTAATTACAATATTTAATAAAATGATTTGATTTTGTGGAATGGCTGAATTACATATAATTGGTCGAATTTCGTCTGCAAACAATTTTAAACAATCACGATTATTATGCAAGTGGAGTTTTCATGCCGGTAATAAAAATATTATGGTTTTAAAAATTAATTATTTATTGTCATGTATATAATGTTTTCTTTTTTTTTTTTTATAGGTAATGGATGGAAAATTTTAGATGGTTGGGGAGAAGGACAAACTCAAGAAAGTTGTGATTTATATACTAATGAACCAGTTTGGGATCATCCCATAGATTTACATTATACAACACAAACTCTTCAGAATTCACCAAAAGTTTTGTTACAAATATTTTATAGGGATACACATGGAAGAATATTATTTGGATCTTATGGCATTTGTAATATTCCCTTATCTCCTGGATTACATTTTATAAAGTGTCATACATGGAAACCAATTGGTAGGTTAAATATTTTCTTTTGTTTGATTTTAAAATGAAATTTTATAATATTATATATATTTTATCTTTAATATATAGGTAGTTGGAAAGATAGATTAAAAGATAAATTTTTAGGGGTAACTTTACAATTAAAATCACCAAGTGTTCTAGTTAATTCCATGGATAGATTTGAGTTACTTACAGAAAGTATGGGTACAGTTAAAATTGAATTATATATACTTACACGAAATTTTGAGAAATATGGATGTCATATATAACTGTATATTACTAAAAGTTATGAAATAGGAATATCTATTCATTAATGTATCCTAAACTATAAAATAAATACAAAACTGTCAATATGTTTACACAAAAAATTATGTTAATGTTTTTGTATTTTATATTAAATGAATTAATATTTGCAAAGAAACTTGAAGAAATATTTACATGTATGAATGAAACAGATTGTGATGAAGTAATAGAGAAAGATAGTTTAGAAGAAACTATAAGTGCTATTACTGAAAATATTTATAATACAACTAATTCTATTAGTAACTCTGTATATTCAACACAGACTCCAAAAATTCAAGTAATACCAACTACACAGATGCCTCATAAAGTTAAGTACAGTAATAAATCAAGAAATCAGAATGTAAATAAAATTCATTCTGATATATGTGAATGTGATTTAATGGTAAATTTTTTACATTTTAATATTTTATATTTAGCATTAAATATATAACTTTTTAAATTAATTCAGTTTGTTGTTTATATAATAGGTTTCATCTTGTAACATTAACTGTTGTTGTGACAAAGATTGTAATGACTACCATATAACTGTGTTTTCACATTGTGATGATTATCAACCAGAATTATTTGATAAACGTTACTGTTATAATAGAAATTTTATACAGCGAAATAATACTCCATTTATACTTGAAAAATTGGCAAATAATCTCTTTTGTATTTTATATGATAATCTTCCACCTACTTATAATATTAATAATGAATTGGTAAGATTAATGCATATTATAAATGTCAAATTATGTTCATATAAAAGTAGTAATTTATATTTTATTTAATCTTATACAGGATATAAAAACTGGAGATGATTTAAAGAATATAATAAATTCAAATAAATTAACATGGAAGTGGAAAGACCAATCATATGTACCTGAATATAATACTTTTAGTCCTTATCAAGATGGTGATGTTATGTGGATAGTATATAACAACTATATTCAACCTTTTGGTATATATTACATATACAATATTATGATTACTAATATTGAGATTCTATTTAACTAGTATATTTTTATGAATATTTTGTTTTCATAACTTTAGAAATACTACAATCTGGCTTTACTGAATTGTGTTCATTTAAGAAAACTTTAAAATATCTTTATGAATGGAAAGATCAATGTCTGCAAACTGACTTAATTGACACAAATAAGTTTCTGTTTCCAACAATATTTAATAATTTTACAGTTATTGTATCTCCCCATTTATTAAATGAAACCTATATTCTTGTATCAGATCAGGTATATGGAAAATAATATTTTTTAAAGTGATATGTAATATTGAACTATATTTTTGCCTGTATTACGAGAAATATAATGACATTCAAATTTACCATTTGCAGGTTTGCCCTAAAAATGTATGTTTAACATTAAATAATTATTATTGCAAAAATGGTTGGAAGACATGTAGTAATAATACTATGTTAGGATCTTGTTCCAACGGTACATGTTATAACATTGTAACTGGTGTAAGATACTTAATTGTGCATAATGGTTCTATGGGAGTTAATAATGTTGATGTATACCTTAACATAGGTAATGTTTCTCAACATTTTTATCAACAATTTGAAGTAATTTATGAATGGGCAGAATTGGATAAAGAGAAAAGTTTCTCTCTCAGTGGTAATCCTGGTTACATTATTGGAAAACCATTAATTATTGGCACCTTGCAGATAAATAAGACTAATAATGTGGAGACGAGATATATCACTTTCAATACAACTAACAGCTTTTTGACATTGCCTATAGCTCAGAAAAATGGTGAATGTAGTGAAATTGATAGGTATATTCTTGTCTTTGGGGAAAATATTAAGTTAAAATGTTCTGTATTTGTACATACTTATAATTTCAGTACAACATCTTGTATAGAGTTACAAAATCTTACTATGCATTTTTTAATTAAAGATTCTTTATTTAATATTACACAAACAGATCAATATAATATTTATATTGCTAAATTCGGTAATTTTTCCAATAATGATATTACTGATTGGGTGCAAATTTTACTGGATAGAATGCCACAAAATGTTATAATAGGGTGGTCTGTTAATGGTCGTTTATATTGTTCAAGACTTATAACATCTATACATTTAAATATTTTATATTCTTCTTTAACAAAACCCAAAAAATTAAACAATTATAACATAATAGCAGTAGGTATTACATTTTCTGCAGAATCTAATGTGTCTTGGACAAAATGTTTATCTGAAAATTGTACAGATATACTTAAAATAGATATTGTTAGTTATGTTACATTTCACGATATATCGAAACCGTCCAAATATTACTTTGTAGGTGGACCTAACTTGGATATTACTTTACCATATGATTTTTTTTATCCTTTTTTAAGTCATTCAACCTGTATTAAAATAAGTACATTTTTATTTAGTGTAATATTGAGTATAATATTACAAAATTTATTTTATTGATCTCAAGTAATAGTTAAAACAACATGTAACTTATTTAAGTATTTAATAAATAATTGAGATACTTTAAAGTATTTAAACTGCATATTACAATATAAACTATGCAGAAAGTACAGAATAAAAATAATTTTACATTTGTATATAAATTAATAAGAAATTTTATAAAATGTAAGTGGTATTTTATAACGTATTTAATTTATTTCATTCGTATAATGTGTGTTTAAAATAAATAAATGGAAAGTGCCTTGCAATAGTTGGTTTCTTGTTTCTTTATAATCAAATTTAATTATTTAATTTTAATATGTTAATATAAAGAAATTTTATTATAAAAGAAAACTTTGTAAATTTTGTATTTAAAAGGAACGTTTATTTTTATCTATATGTTATTAGATATATAATTTTGTCCAATTGCCCAGTAATATTTTACAATAATATTAAATGATTGGCTAAAAACTGCATCGAATGCATTTTAAAAGATCATTACAATATGAAAGAAAATTCACTAATATAATGGTAACCAATGAAAACAGTTCATTTAAATCATTCGCCAATCAAAAGTGTTCCATCTTTTCTCTAAATCTTGCCACTAAAAACTTGGTACCAGCTTCTGCAGCTGTCGTGATGCACTATGGGACATTGGGTTGTGCTTCGCTCCAATACAAGATGGCTGACACTTGTTAGTAGTGTATTTTCGTTTTATCGAATGTGCATTTTATAAAAAAATCAGTGCCTTCGTAATCGCGTATGGTGCGTGTATGTTTGTACAACTAATACAGAAGTGGTCTTCCTTTTTTATTAAATAGTTCCCTTATCATGTATTATCAGGAGACATCAAAATGTGCCGTGAAAGTGCTAAAGGCAGAATAATTACCCGTCACCAGCCATATTCATATGTGTTCTTTTGTTATGACAATTGTGATATAATTCTTGCGGAATATAGTGCCAAGGTGAAGTGATATTTTGCTTTGTTGCGCTTCTACTTTGTTACTAGTGTTTCGTACAAGATTCGTTTCACTACGAAATAGATTAAATGAAAGGTATGTATTTACTTTATCCTCTTTGGTATGCCTATTCACGAGACATTCTTGAAACCTTATATCCGTGTATTTTCTCTTTTTTCGATTGTCTCCTTTTTATTTCTTTATGCTTGCAAAATATAAGAACCGATTGACCCATTAACCTGTTATATCGATTAATGTGATGTCATATATGGTTTCTTAGTTTTTCTTTCACATATTCTTTGAATTTTAATCGCTGTCATTATTTTACAATTTTTTAGTATTGAGTAATTACTAATCGTATATCTATAAGATGAAATAATGATTAAAATAATGTTTTGATTTTTAATATTAGTTTAATGTAACCTTTATCTGTATAAATTCGATTGTTTACGATCCATCAATGCAAAAAGTCTTGCGGTTCAGGGACGAGAATAAGCAAACTAAACATGGTAGTAACATTGGTAATGAAATTTAATCATAGCATGTTATTAAAAGAAATGTACATACTTCATTTCAATTTGATTTCTTATAAAGCCTTGCTCATTCTGAAGACATTTTTTTTTTAAAGGAATAAACGTGAAAAAAATTTTGCTGTACTGCTGCCTATCTAACCTATATTAAATATATTAATTCAATATAATACTCAATTAATTAAAAATGTGTATAACTTTAGATAAGTTATTTTATATATATGTGTGTATGTGTACGTATGAATGTGTGTGTGTGTGTGTGTGTGTGTTTATATTTTGTTGAGGAGGAGTAATATTTCGCTTACGGTATACCGAATAAGATGTCAAAAATATTAAATATTTACGTGATGTTAAACAAATCCGAAGAATTGTTTTAAATAGTTCGGTACATAAAAAATTATACTTTTATTATTTTTAGTATGTATTACAAATTAAGAAACTATTATTTTAGGCGTATTGATAAATTATCATATATTCTTTGTGAATGGTGTAATACATTAATTATTTCGATATCATTTTAAATACATTAATATGTAATATAAATTTATTAAAATATCATTATTGTGTACGATTCCTTTAAAATTTGTCATAAGATAATTTGGTTCACGTCTGACACGAAACATGTAAATCACGAATGTGATATTAAAGTTACGATTGAAATATTAAACTAACATTAGGACAGTCGGTGATATCTCTTACAAATTTAAAATAAAATTGACGATTTTTTACGACCGTGTTTGTTACAACGCATACTTTTAAGGTATAACGAGATACAAAACGTAAAATGGCTGATGGCTTTAAGCAAAGCAATCTATCTCACGTTTTGTAGAAACATCATCTTGTTTGTGAAATTAATAAGTTATTTTTAACATTTTCGTCACAAACAAAATAAACTTGAAAGATTTTTATTCTTTGCTTTTTATATCTTTTCTTTTTATTGATAAACTGTTAAATTGCGCAATCGGAAGTTGTTCTAGAATTTCATAGTAATTCTCTTACAAAAGAATTATTAAAACATACATAAAATTGTTATACAAGAAATAATTTTCTTAATTCGCAAAAATAACTCATTACAATTATTTTTTTTTTTATATCTAGGTCAAAGTATTATATTTTAAATTATCTTTTCTTTCTGCAAAAGTAAATACCATAAAAATATTGGATTCCTGAAATAAGTACAACGAAGATTAAAATCATAAATTAATTTCATTATAAATGTAATATTTAATTTTTGTTTAATTTAAATTAAAATATGTGAATATCATGATGAATTATTATTCATTTTTTTTTTCTCTTTCTTTGAAACGTGGAACTAATTGTAAAATTTTATATATAATTCAGTGTCTACTTTTGTTAATGAGGTGTAAAATTGTTCATAAGATATCATTGGATATATAGAAGAGTGTTAAGAATAAAATCACATTAGAATTTTCTCGTCCTTGATGAAACTGGGCATTGTGAGTGCATTAACTTCTTTGAACACGGTGGTATTACGGTGTACCATTTATACAGAATTAATTACCATTTAATTTTCAGTAAGGTTGCACCGTTTCATGTCTGCATTTAAAGAAATTTTACATCTTTTTCTTCTAGCTTTAGGTATGCTTTAAATATTTTACATTAAATACCGTATAATACTATTCGTTCATTAAAAAAGATCGACGTGGAATAAGGAACGAAGGCAGAAAGATTTCTCATACGAAATGCAACTAGGAAGATTTGCAAGTTTGAACATAGAAAATCAGAATAATTTTCATGGCAATAGAAATTAATTTACCTACTTTTAGGACGATAATTATATTTACCGTGGTGAAAATTAACTGTTCACATTTTTGTCAGTAATTGCGATGGCAAAATAACCAAACACAAGTTCTGGATTCTTAATAAAAAAAGGTAATTATTATTTGATCGTTTACGTCCCGTTAGACTAGTTTTAGTTTGTAATAACGACTGATCTAAAAAAAAGAATTGCCTGAATATTTATGCCTGACTGTCTTATTAATGAGAACTGGAATAATTATATCCTTAAATGATAGTTAGTGTATCATCGAATTATTTGTCTTTTAAAAGTTAATTAATTACACGCATTTCCAATTGGAATAAACAAAACGTTTAGCGTGTAGAGAAATTCAAATATACATTGTTTTAGGCTATTTGAATTTGCTAGTCAGATTTCAGTCACATACGGGTTAAATATATATATACTGGGCTAGTCTCTTGTGTTGTTTCATAAATGAAGAGTACGAAGAGTGAAGGAAGAGTGAAGAAGAGTATTAGATTTGAAAGTTTAGTTAAGGGCATGGGTGCAACAAACGTTTCGATGTAAAGATTCTTCTTCAAAGAATTACGATGTACACAATGCGAATTGTTAACTCTTTCTAATCACGTTTCACCAATGTTTCGTTAAGCTTTTATGATTATGGTTATATAGTTGAGATAATTATTGAGCTGTAAATTTAGGATCTTGTGAAATGATTATTTATATAAAGTAGTTAGTAACAAATCTGGATAATGTAATATACCGGAAATAGAAATTCTTGTCTTTGTTGCTAAGGATACGAATAAGCTTTGAAGACAAAAGTTGCTTGCTCTTCGAAGTTTTTTTCGGAGCTGATTCGAATTTAAATATATAATTTGAAATATAAATTTATGTATATTTAGTATAGTATCAAAATATTAAATATAGTAAGAATATTAAATATTGATATAAAAAACATATTTCTTGTTTATGTAATTGGAAAATCCGGTATTCAGAATTTATTCTAATGATTTATAAATTCGTAAATCGGAGAAACTTTTAAATATATGTATCGTCTTGAGCATATTTTTTTATCTTCAATGATAAAGCAGATAATCGACTTATTTTTGTCGAATCATTTAGTACATTTAACTATAAATATCGAAGTTCTTAATATCGTTTCGTGCAAATTTCTTAAGATTAAAAATATAAAAATAATTGAATTTCTGTTGATAAAAAATTTCAACAAAAATTGAATTCAAAAATAAACGATTCTGTAAATCATACTTCGTTGAGTTTTCATTATTGAAAATTAAACAAATGGAGACAAAGGCATACAAATAACAAACGTAAATAAGATAAACGAAAAGGACGCTTTTATGAAGATTTACTAGACGCGATAATTATTTCCAAAGTTGGAATAGCAAAGTCCCATTTTTCGGTTTCCTATTGTATTATAGATAAAATTTTCTAAGAAAAACAATTCCATCTTGTTTAAGTTCGTTTTGCGTTTGTTATATAACAATTAAGTGAAAACGACGCGTACGTAAATTCCCAGAATGTTGATGGGCGATACGTCAATAAATAATAATTAAACACGAATGTAAAATATATATGATTATAAGCTCGTGAAAGTACATAGCAACGACAGACATAATCCCGTTGATAAGGGGACATGATTATTTATTAGCTTCATACGCGGTGAATGATCAAACATCCTGCATTCGTTAAGAAGCAATTATTCTTCGAAACATAACAGTTTTTTTTAATTAAGACACACTCTTTTTTGTTCATAATCTGATAATCCAGTTAAAATATTTTCTACTGTAAGATATATAAGAGAAAAATTATTCTGAAGATTTTATATGTGTTATATGTAGCAGGGCAACTTTGTAGGTTGGTAATTGGATGTAATAGATACGTTACATCAAACTACGTTCCGCGAACGTGATAATTTCCGTACTTTATCGTTTCGGCATTGAGGTAATGTTGTAAGTGAAATGAGATTAAAAGACCACGATTTAACGAGCGATTATATAACATTAGTAGGAAGAATTAAGTTTGAAGTGCAGATTTAAGTTATAAAAGAATGACTTTAATATCTCTGAATAATGATTTTGTTGAAGTACTTAATTGTTAATCTTACTCTTGTCTAAATTTCTACGTATCGATAATTTATCCCTTTATCAGTTTGAGAGCTCAAAATTGAAACAAAAGAACCGTATAGAAGATATCCTATCGAAAAGTAATTTTTGCTTTGTTTTCGCTATATGTTTATTTATGTATTACATGATTTATTTTGTATAACTTTCATTAACCCTGCGTAAAAAAAAATACGTACATTTTTTTGGTCGATATTTTAATAGACAATGAACTAGTATTCATTCAACATCCAAGGATAGAATACTAATTATAATTATCAATAGTTTCAAAATCAATCATGTAACTATGCAACATATACAAGATCTTCATCATAACTATTCTTATACTATTCTCATATCAACGCTATCCTCCAATCTTCTAATTATTTAGAAAACCCTCCATCGTTTCCACGAAATCAATATCAACATCAATAGTTTCCCAGTCGATCGCAAAACTATTAAACTAACAAGTTATATTAAACCTTATAAACATATAGCATACTCGACAACAACTTCTTGTAATTTGCCTCTTGGCAACGCCTTTGAAAACACCGTAAAGCTCGTATTACTATATCTCCAACGCTGTTTAAAGGGTCTACGAAATCGATGCCTCTTGTCAGCTATATTTTCCCCTGCTTCTGTTCTTCGCGCAGAAGCTTTGTTCTCTATCTTGCGATTGTTCAAGCTGAAACAAATAATAATTAAAGAACAGAAAAAATGAAACACTCGTCTATCGATTTATAACCATTCGTGTTTCAGCGCATTGTCAACGTTATTTCATTTTACTTGCAGGTCATATAGTCGTGCTGCAGCCGGGGCAGAGATGAGGGGAGGCCAAGCAGAGATCGAAGAAGGGATGAATGGAACGGCGGCGTTGCGACGCAGCGTCGGGGATGGCGGAGGCGCCGCCGGGGGTGGGACCGTCGAACCAGCACCCGTTGCCACCCTCGTCGTCTACAAGGACGAGGCCGGATACGGGATGAAAGTCTCCGGTGATAACCCCGTCTATGTTCAATCTGTAAAGGAAGGTGTGTTACCGTGTTATTAGAATTTTGAAGTTTAGTTGATTTTTTCTTCTTTTCTTTTTCTATTCTTTTTTTTCTCTTCTTGATAAAATGGTTTAGAGGCGTGATGATACGTTGACGGTGGAGATCATCTTGGTTCGATCGACTTGATTATTCAGCAAGGTATTTAATATTTTGAAAGATTCAGAATGTGTTATATAAAATGCATATACATCCTGTTTTAATGCATTGCTGGATTAAGTATACATATATTTAAGTGTCTCAGTGGTGAATACCTTCGAAGTTTTAGTTATGTAAGTTGGAGGATCGGTATGTTTCTTAATATGTTCATATTATTTCTTCTTTCATTTATATTAGTTATTTCTCCTGTTCTTCAAAACTTACAAAATTTTATGCGAATATACAATCTTTCAAATGTACACTTTTTATATCAAGTTTATCTTCCAAGAGTGACCCTTTAGCTATTTTGAACAACGTATTATCATCTTCTGTCAATTATTTTATTGATTATATTTGGGTGTAATAGTGTTTTCTATACAATACTAATGCCACAAATTAGCAGTGTATTAATAATACAAGTACTGCTACTGTTTAGTATGCTGCTAATTGTCTTGGATAAATGAAATGATAACGTTTCACCATGTTATGTTTAAAATCTTAACACATTAACCACTATATATATTATACTTAACGAAAAGAATGTGAATCAAGTTAAGACTACGTTTATCGTAAATAATACACTACGAAGCTGTGTTTTTATACTTCGTGTATTATTGTAATTCACAAATTGTGTGCTGCAGTGTGTTTTAAACAAATATTTTTATCTATGTTTTCGTAATGAACAATTTTTTCTTTCACAGTTAATATTTTTGACTTATCTAAAAATAAAATTTAGTAATATATTAGTTTATTTGATTTTATTTATTAATATTTATTAAAAATACTATTTTAAAGGTTTTAATCCATGTTATACTCAATTAAATATTTTTCTTTAATGTGTGAAATTTTGTTGAAGCCTAGTAGTTTTTAGAAAAGTTCAGTAAAAATGATATTCATTTCAAAGTTGAAGTTATCTTGGAGAAGTTAACGAGAAAATTACAAATTTTGATTAAGGGAGCGATTATTCTCGAATCGTTAACTTATTTTTCTAATCTCTACGTATCTCGTAGAAAAAAAATTTTGAAAGCCAATGATGTATTGTAGGCGGTGCAGCCGCGAGAGCTGGCCTTCACGCGGGTGACAAAATTATCAAGGTGAGCTTATTTCGAATTTACATTATCACAAGTAATACTAACTAAGGTATTCCCATGAAATTATCGGTCGCATGTATATTATGAATTGAAATATTTATGGTATTTCTAAATTTAAACGATCAATAACCGCGTAGCATGTGTGAATTTAAATTACTTACGTTTGCAAAACGTGTATTTGCAAGGATATATTTTCACTATTTATAACCATGATTGGTATTTCCAGGTTAACGGCGTGAATGTAATGCAGTCCACGCATACGGATGTTGTACAGCTCATAAAGTGTAAGTTTACATACTTTCTTTCTTTTCTACGACCTCTTTTTTCTTCTTTTCTCTTTTATTTTCAAGACATGGGCACGTTATTTGGCAGTGAGACGGAATAAATGTTTGTGTACAAAGAGACCGACATAGAATGGAACGCTGTGTAAACGTCGAAAGGTTTAAATCTACATTTTTTTTTTATTGGCAGAGAAAAGTATTAGTTTTATCGTATAGAGATTACATTTTAGAAATTCTAAAACTTTAATTTACTAAAAAGATACTATTTTCATTGTTTTGTCTGATCAAAATTTTATTAGATAATATTTTATTTGGATTAATTTTTATTGTAATTTTTCTTTATAATTTTTCTTTGCGTACTAATGGATACAAAGGGGGAATACCTTTTTCTCCATGATAGGATTTTCCCGTCGATTGAGCATTTTTACGTAATCTGTCTAGCAAGCTTGTAACATAAACACACACGGGGAGGTTCGTACTTTGCAAGCTATTCTTATGTGCCGTTGATAATCACAAAGGGTGCGTGTAATCCAATCTACCATACTATAGGCCGTTAACCTGCATTTTATAAAAGTAGACGAAGTAGTTGCTATAGATCGAGAGAATTATTTTCAGAGTAACACGTTAAAAGAGAATGACATAGTGGTTTTCTTTTTAAATGATAAAAGTATTTAAACTACTAAGTATTTAATAAAACTATAATATTCTTACCGAATTATTCAATATTCAGGTACAGGCAATCAAATCTCATGTTGCTTTTCAATTCTCCTTGTTTTCCATACTCAAATCTATACTCGATCAGAAGCTGTCGAAGCATGTCCTATGTCTGAAAGGCTTTTATCGAAATTGAGCTGTTAAGTTCATCCATTCAAACGAACAATGCAATTTAATTTGAAAATCTGTCACGAATATGGCGTAAAGAGGAGGAAGTATAAAGGTCTGCAAAAGGAAGTTCATTCTACATGTAATTAGAGATAATTGACGTTTAAATAAGTGAGATTTCAGTGAGCAATCCGTCTCCTTTTTTTTCTATAAATTAAGGGAATAACTATAGAAATATCGATGCACTGACGCATAAACGGCGTCGTAAAACAGAAAGAAAAAAGAGCTGGGATTGTTTGTCGTATCTGCGAAAAGAGACATTTATAAAGATTGCAAATGATTGTCGGTGACTTTATATTGGACACACCACATGAACGAAGCTTCTGCGGCGACGTTTCCAGTGATGTAAGCATGTGAGTTTATAGCGGTGACCGTTCATAGACTCTGTCCTCCTTCTTCTAACAGTTCAGGTACAACACAATGACTATAAACGTGTCTCTTCCATCGTGACATTTAACTGTGCCGTAATTCTACAAAATTCTGTTACGTTTCAAGCGACGCATGAAGAAAACGAAACGGGAATTGTTTCACGTTGTTATCGCGTTTCTTTTGTCACATAGCGATTAGTTTCACGAGATACTGAAACAAAGTAAAACAAATTTCTTTGTTTAAGAAGCAAATGGTTTGGTTCCACCTACTTTTGTACATATCGTTCTTTTATTATTGCTAGTCGATGATTAAGTAGTAACATAACTAGTCGCAGAATTGTTTATATAAAAATGATTTTGAAACACGATGCAAAATGTCTCGTAATTCAACACCGTGCGAAGGTGAAGTGATCTTGTGCGTCCAAATCCTAATAACTTTCCAAAGTATACTACCTGTCCTACTTAATCGTTTCATAAGACGGCAACTCTAGTACACATCCAGATTTCGCGTAGATTCATGAATATTTAAAATTAGTTCCATAATGCGAAGATTTTTCAATAAGGACGATAAAGAACTTGTTTATCATGCTAAATGACGATATGATTTTTTCTTGGAAATATACTTGCGTCTACAGATGTATTGAGCAGATGATTTTGATATATAAACATTCAATTACCGGGAAAAGAAATACATGAGAAACATAGGTTGATATACGTACTTCAACAGGGATTAACCGTGTTAGAACGTTTTACTCGTTAAAGTCAATTTCGTTTTGCAAAGATAAATAAAGATAGTTTTATGAGGAAAGGCGTATGCAGAATACGAGAAGGTTCTTGCAGCTGACCGCTAAATCACTGCCATTTACAGCTGAGTCAATCGTTCTTTCGGGATTTTCCAAAGTCACTATCGTAGTATTTATCTTAATAGATGCAGAGTGATGTTTAAAATACTTAGTACCACATTTGTTTTCGGTGAAACTGCAAGATACGACAAAAAAAATTACATTACTTACTGAAATAGAAGAAGTTATGATAAAGAAATTTTATTGACTAATTAAAAACCCCAAACATTTCATTTTTAATAAACAAATTATACATCTATGAGTTATTTCATGTCAATAAACAAAAAAGTAAAAATATGATATGATTATTTTAATTTTACAAGAAATTAAATATTCATAAAAATTCTATTTCTCCAAGGAGAACATGTTCTTAATCTTTCTTTAATTTCCTCTGATCAAAATCATCATTAAAAAATCTAAATAAGTAATTACGTAATTCATTGTAATTAAGCAATTAAGTAATCCACTCTCATCGAATAATATTTTATGACAGAAAAAGGAAAAAATAAACTTTATGGAGAAAATCATACCAGTGCAAAGGGGATCTTCATAATTTCGTTAGAAAATCATCGTAGTTACATTTCCTAGTAAAGCTTCTGATCGAAATCTGCTTTCCAAAAACGAACGATAATATTAGAATAAGTTTACCAAGGCGTTGTAGCTTATAGTTAAATGACGAAGTTTGGTCATATATCGAAGATTAGTCGTATGCGCGTGTAAACATAAGAATCTCGTCATTCATATTAATACACGCACCTGGGGCCAAGTTTCTCGGTACAGAATGCCTGCTCTACGGATCGCTTCAGTCGCCGATCGTTTTACGCAGTTTCGCAGACGACACGGCACTCGATGCGCGTGGTCTCGCCGTGAAACGCCGAGCCTTAAATCAGCTAGTGCTGAAATATATTTGAAAAATCGATTATCGTTCGAACGATTCTTGTTCGTTGATTTGTGTCTATATGAAGACGCGATCCACGTACGACCTGAGGCAAGCTTGGAAGAAAGCTCGTGCAAAAGCTTACTCTGGTATTTTCAGCTGCTTCTCGAAAACGTTAACGTTCATGTTCAAATATTATGTAATTTTTTACCGTTAGGACATCTGTTGTCGTTCGCTGGAACTTTTCGTCCTTCTCGTGCGATCCTTCGTATTACTTTATGGCGGAGGGAGACTAAATTGCATTCGCTGTGAACCGTGCAAAGTTGAAGGTCCCTCTAGTAATATTTATGTTCTCTGGTTCCTTAAAAATGCAAATATTTTGGATACTTTACATATTCTCGGAGTGCTCGTTTAGGCAACAATTTTAAAGGAAGTGGTATCACGCTCTGTGTTTTCGAAATCGACGCGTTGTTGTGAAGTCGCGTATCTATCTTGCAATTTCTATGTCAGTTTTGTCAATTAATTTTTTGGCACGGATACGCATTTCCAGAATTAGAAAAAGAGAATGACGTCATATATCTCAGCTGAGCGTAGGAATGAGTCATTGTCGGTGTAAGAAATAACTAGACTTATAGTTATCGCATAGTCGTATGTAAATATTATTTTTTTCAATGATAGATGCACTATTGTCTATCTTATTTTATTCACGATTGCAGTGTAATAAGCTTGAATGCATTTCACAATTCTTGTTTTCTTGATAAGATATCCAATGTTTTACTCGTCATGTTTAGATACGTATTTTAAGATCCACAAAGAATTCATCATCGATAAATTTCAACAATTTAATTTTTTATATTTTCATCCAAGAATATTTGAATTATAAGCAAGCTCCAGGTTACTTTTATTGCAAATTGTCTCACTGACGTAATAGCATATATTAAAGTCGTACCTTTCAAATCATACAATAGTTTACCAAATGATTAGAACAGGGAAAAAGTTTAACTTGCATAACGTACGAAACAAAGTAAAAATGTAAAAATCGGTGCAATAAACCTTTATAAAATTTTTTAATTTTTCAAGTGCGTATAAAATTTAAAAAAGATTTAAATGGAGGAAGTATAACACAAAACATGATATTTAGTGCGCATGGGTCATATACAGCATACGTAGAGAAATCGAGAGAAGTCTAAGTCGTTGTAAAAGAAAATACAAGTGGTGACCGTTCGAGCAGTTCTCAAAAGAATGGCGGAGGGTCAAACGCGGGGGAAGGACCGGCGAAGGTATGCGAAAGGTGACTAATCATCGTCCTTGAACTCTTGTTGCAGCTTCGACGCAGGTGGTACTGACGGTACAGCAGAAGCCAGTTGCAACGAGCAGCGCGGCGACGACAGCCACGGGGCTACAGGTTGGTTTGGCGGGTGGACATCAACGGCCAGTCAGTTTATCAGCTGGAACTACGATGGTATCACCCTCTCAACCGGCAACTTCCTTACACAGGGCGTCGACTGCTCCAGCAGCCGGTGCACCGTGTAATGCACGTATCACGGGACCTCAACCCGTTGATGTAAGTTGAAGTATTTCACGAGAGTTACGGATGTTTAAGAGTACTGTTTAATTTTGAAAGTAATAACGTACCTTTTTTTTATTTTATTTATTTAAAATATTCTATATAAGTAATTTTTATAAAAACCTAAGATAATAAATGATTTATACAAATATCAATTTTGTACATATATGATAAACAATATTATATATTATACTGGTATATAACACTTGATAATCTATTACATATATCTATCCATATGTGGAAATAGATATAGATTTGAATAAAAATCCGAATATTATGTACATGAATAAATATTATACAATGAAATAAATATTGATCTGAATGTGTAGTAGAGAGAAACAATTTTATCTTTTTATGTGTTTTAGCATGAGAAAAAGCGGCAACTGGAAACTCAGCGCGTTCATACATTCATACTTATGTTGGATAAAGAACAAAGTTACGTTGATAAGCTTCGTAACGAACTCGCGAAAGCCAGCACTGGTAGTGGTAATGTTAACGTTGTAGCACTACAAACAGAATTGGCGGGCGCCGAAAGGAGGGTGCGCACCCTGCAGGAACAGCTAGCTGCAACTACTACTATGGAACAGGTCTGGTTTTTTCTTTATAGCGTGCTTTAATAATATGCTCAAATTCTTTAAAAGTTTCTATTTATTGCACTAATATCCTGCATCAATTTTATATCAGTAAACTAGATGTTCATACGTATATTATATCACAAATATTACGTTATTATTCATAATCTTATTCATAAGATCGTGAGTTCGTTTTAACGCTTATATTCATTAACATTTCTTATATCCCTATATATTTTATTGTGTCTTGCTTTTATGTCAGTGTTTGATAATTCCAGTTTATGCTATTCAGTGTAATAAATAGTTGCTGGGCATGATATTATTGAGATGTTTATTTTTGTGAATAGAAAGCATAATGATGAAAGTATGAATATAAGTTTTTTCATTGGTTATTATAGTAGTTCAGAAACTTTTGATGCGTATGTTAGTAGCTTACAGTATATAATGGTAAACAATAAAATAATGACAAAACCTACATTCTGCTTCTGTACATGTATTTTTTGGAGCTGTACAAATACAATTTTTATATAATGTGTTTTATATAATATGTGCTTACGTTACAACTGAAATTTTCAAATGCAGTCATATAGGGATGTATTTAAGCTTTCGCTAACTTTATCTAACCAGCTTTTGTTGTGTCTTACAGCTTTGCTCGTTGGTAACAAACACCTCGTGTTCCCCGGGTTATTATTCACCCTTGAGTAGTAGCAGTGGTGATGTACCACCGCCTCTACCATCTCGTAAATCCTTATCCATGCAAAGCCTCTCTCCACCACCATTGCCTCCCAGACCTCCGCCTACTACAAATACGCACCACGTAGCCCAGTTGGAGCTGGAGCGTCATCTGTTGACTCATTTAACGCCCTCAACCACCAGTCATGGCATACCTAACTCTGTAAGTAGTCTAATCGCTAAGTCATTAAATAAATAATTTATATGAATGCATGGTAAAAAAAAATTATCACATAATCACATTGTGTATACTTTTTGGAGTAACTCCTATTTACATATTTGGACAATTACATAGATTTATATTTTTATTTTTTTAATGTTTTATAAATTACATCTCTACATTTATTTCATTAAATTATATTTAATTGTATTTATGATACATAATAATCAAATATCCATATTATGTTAATACTTTGTTATGCTTCATTTGCGAATACCATTACTTTATATGCAGCTATACCAAAAACTCATGATAAACATTATATTACAGAAGCTGTGCTTGTTTACTGAAGTGTTGTTGCTTGAGTAATATATTTTATTATGTAATGTATTTTAAGTATATTTGTCATATGCATTGAAATATAATTCTTGTAATTTTGTAAAATTTATGGTCATGCAGTATGTACCTTTAAATATTTGTTTGATAAGATTTTATTTCAGTTACTGTGATTGCAGTATTTAGTAATTTTTATATTATATATGTAAGATTTAGTGGTAAAATGCATAGTATATTTTATTGTATTCTTGCATTATGAATTGCAATGTTTTCCTTCATTCTTGTACTTCATCTATTGCTACTAATATTGTTTCAGTTACTGTGTATTGTTTAATAAATAAAAATTTAATTTCCTTATAGCTCTCACAGGGTGCGAATTTGGGCTCTTCAAATTCACTTAATAAGCACCAACGAACAAAATCCAGTCCAGAACAACTGGGAACAACAACTATTTCTCCATCAGAAGCTAGTAGACGTTTAATAGCATCAGAATCAATGAATGATCTTTCTCCTCCAAGACATGTAAGGCATAGTGACATTGATATTGATGAATTACCTCATATCACTCCTCCAGGAACTCCACCACCACCATATCCAGTTGCTAGTCCAGGAAATGATACCTCCAGTTCTACTATTAATGATGTAAGTTCTTAAAGCTGTGCTTCTTATACAATTTATAGTAGTTACTTAGGTGTTTTATTATTTCTAGACTACATTAAACGAAGGCA